GGCGGCGCTGTCGGGTTGTCGTACGAAAAAATAGCGTCGCCACAAGCTGGATCACTCGGCTCGTGTCGAAAAGGTCGGAGGTGGAGATGTCGCACAAGAGAGAAAGATACGACTCCCCAAACGCAGTGAAAATCACCAACCTTTCCGGATGATCTCCGGTCCATAACCCTTCCCGGTCCGGCAATGTCCCTCTCCAACGAGAGCTAATCACCGCCGAGGAAGGGCCGTCCCTAATTCCGCTGTGAGATTCCCCCCAGGGGTACGAGCAAGGGGGTCAGCGGCAGCTCCCGGGCGTCCCAAAAATGTGTGCGGGGGGACGTCCAGGGGGACCGGTCTCACCGGCAGAGCCTCCCCGACCTGCGCCCCAGCAGGTGCGGTGGATTCTCTCATCAATCGTTCCACCATCTGCTCCAATTTGCGGATGCGTGTCTCCGAGTCGCGGCGCAGGGCTTCCGATTCTGCGAGGCGGGATTCAAGGGACGTGATGACGGCGGCGGCCTGGAGCGGGTGCGGCGAATGCGTCGGCGGGGACTTAGGCGGATTCGCGCGCGAGGGGTCTTCGCGGACGGGGGCGGTGGTGTCTCGCGACGTGTCGGTGGGTTCGGCCATGGCGAGTTCGCGGCGTAGCGGTTGGCGGTTGTGGGGAGAACGGATGCGAGCTCGAGAAGGATGGAAGAAGGGGTACGAAGGGATGACGCGTTCGTCGTCGGACTCAGTGAATGAGGTGGCGAATGACCACGACGCGTCAGCGGGGGATGAGTTCGGCAACGGGGAGGAAGCTGACGACTCAGGGGTAGTGGACGATTGCTCGTCCAGGATGCAGGATAGAGCAAGGGCAAGCGAGATCGAAGGTTGGCGGTGCCGGACTTGAAAAAAGTGGCAGGCAACGTCCTCTTCAGAAGACGTTGACTACACGCGGAGGAGGGGATCAGGCCGAAGGAAGGTCGACTGGCGGGGGCAGGCGACCGAGGACAACCGAGGAGGGGACGCGGTTGTGAGGCTCGCAGCAAGTCAAGTATATCGGACTTTATGCCAACGAGATCGAAAACGAAGGATGAAGGTGAAGGGATCTTGGGAGATGTAGCGGACCAGGCTGAGTGGGAAGGTGCTAAAAACAAAAGGGAGGCACTCAGGCGCAGAGGGACTTAGCCAATTCAGCTACTCCAAGAGGTCGCCTCAGGGGGAAAAAGGATTGCTCGCGGGAGCACCGGTAAAAACCCTGAGGCCGCGCCTCAGCTAACAAAAAGAACAAAAACCGAGAGAAGATTGCGCTCTGCGCGCCTTGAACCCGCGACCATTAAGTGCGCGCCCGTGCGCCGAACGACTTACGCCATCACGCCCACAATGCTTGAATGGAGGGAAGCATTTGGTGACCTCAACTCTACCTGCACATTACCTCAGGGACTTCCTTCGAGTGTTGCTGTCAGTGTATCGCTGTTTGCCTGACAGATGTGCTGTGTTCGCCACCGCTCCTTTTTCGTCTGGTGCCCTAGATCTCGGTTTGCGACCATTCTTCGTTTGCCGGGTAACGGCGTACGACGCCATCTTGGGGCTGCCATTTCTTAAGGACACAGGCATGCTCGTTGGTTGGGGCGCCTTCACCGTCGCGCGCACCGGCCCTTCGCAACCCGTCGCCCAGGATACGCACGATGGACCGAGCCGTCACCGTAGCACCTATCTTATCTGGTTCTGCCATTGGCTGCAATCACCCTGGGTTGCTCCCCGACGACGAGATCATCGGCCTCGAGCCACACAACCCGCTGCTTGATGTCGTCGACGATCCGGCGCTCGACGATTTCTCTGAGTCCGAAGCACGAACACGATTGGCTGCCTTACTCGAGAAATTTTCTGATGTGTTCGTAGATTCGCTACCGATGGACCAACTCCCACCGTACCGGCCAGTCAACCACGAGATCCCGTTGATCGATCCCACCGAAAAGGTCAAACCCCGGGTATACCCCCTTGCCGACAAATATCGCAGCCAGTGGGCGGAACACTCAGCTAAGTACACTCGTGGTCGATTCTGGGTTCGGGTCCGATCGATTCTGCGGCTCCGGTCTTTGCCATTCCGAAGAAGAACTCCCAGACGGCTCGTTTCGTGATCGACCTCCGCGCGCGCAACAGCAACACCGTCAAGCGTTTTTCGCCCATCCGGACATGACCAATGTTCGATACGAGGTGGCTCGATCGCGTTATCGCTCTAAATTCGACGTGGCCGCGGCATTTGAGCAGGTTCGGGTCATACCGGAGCACGTCGATCGCACCGGCTTCGCAACGGTGACGGGCACGTACACGTCGCGGGTCATGCAGTTTGGTGACACCAATGCGCCCAATACCCTCAACCTCTTAACCTCGGCGATGTTCCAGCCGTGTCTCCCGTTCGCCAAGATCTTTTTCGACGATGTCCACGTCCATTCCGATACCCGTCGCGCGCACTTGAGACACATCAAGATCCTGCTGATGACATTGAGACATTACCGGTTCTACTTAGGATCCAAGAAGTCCGAGTGGTTCTCAAAGTCGTTGGACTCCTTGGGCACCATCATTTCCGACGTCGGCATCGAAGTCGACCCCGCCAAGTGGGTGCGTATCCGTCAGTGGCCGATCCCGTGCAACAAGACCGATGTCCAGCGCTTCCTCGGCACCGTCAACTGGATGCGAGATCACCTACCGCACCTCTCAAAGATTTTGGAGCCGATCACCGCGTTAATGGCGCAATCGACGTCATGGCGTTGGAACGAGCGAGAACAGCAGGCTTTCGATACCGTCAAGTCCCTTGTGCCCGCCATCCTACGACCGATCGATGGCGCCAAGGTTACCTCGGGCGAGCACAAGATGTACCTCTTCACGGATGCCAGTCGGGTTGGCATTGGCGCTTGTTTGGCGTCCGGGCCCAACCGTTCGCAGGCCGTTCCAACGCGATTCTTTTCCGCTAAGTTCAACGGTGCTCAGCTCAACTATCATGTCACTGATAAAGAGTTCTTGGCTGTCGTCTCGGCGTGTCGGGCGTTCGAGCAGCACTTGATCGGTTACCCCTTCGTCATCGTCACCGACCATCAGGCCCTTCGCACGATAAAAACCCAAAAACTGCGCCAAACGCCTCGGCACATCCGCATGTGTCTCGAACTTAGCCGTTTCGACTTCGAATTTGAATTCATTGCTGGCAAGAACAACACCCTGGCCGATTCGTTGTCGCGTCTGTGGGAGGTCAAGGAGGGATCGCACGAGGATCAGGTCAAGGAGAATGAGTTGGAGGACATGTTCTTTGATGGAGAACGCCACGAATTCACTACACCCGGTGAGAGCCTCCCTGAGGAACGTCCTTGCACTTCACCATCTCCCGATCGGTTGCCTCCTGTTGATTTTGCCCTCGGGCCCCAACACGACGATTGCGAGGCAGGCTCTCCCGGATACTACGCGCTCAAGGAGGAATCGCAAGACGAGGACGTGAATGGACAGGAATTAGGGAATTTGTTCTTGAAGGAAGAATGCCACGAGTTCATTACGCCCGGTGAGAGCCTCCTCGAGGAACGTCCTTACACCTCACCTTCGCACGATCGGTTGCCCCCTGTTGATTGCGCCTTCGGGCCCTGGGGTCACGGTTACGACGCAGGCTCTCCCGGTTCCCCTCATCTGGCCGAGAACATTATGGACGCCGTCGATTCGTCTATCGGCCGCCTCTCTCCTCCCATCGCTGTCAATCGAGTTCACGCTATCGCTGCGGCTCCCGCCAACGACCCGCCCATTCCGGTCGATGCCGACGCGACGAACTCGATTTGTTGGGAGTTGCCACCGATGACGTCAACGACACCCCTGTAGTCCATCGGCCGCCTGATCCACTGCCCCAACCCTTCCTCGACACCGTCATCCGAGCATACGCCAACGATTCGCAAGCCCAGGTCATCATTACCGACCCGCTATCATGGCCTATGTTTCGGGTGACCGAGGAAGGGAGGATTTTGCGTGTACATCCAGATGAGTCTCTTTCCTTGTTTGTGCCTCGTGGTCTCGCTACTGGCGTCGTCAACTCCGACAAGGTCCCATCGCTGCGCGAGCTCGTGCTTTCGGAGATTCATCGAAGTGTCGGGCATGCAGGACATCGCATCACCTTGGCCGCCATCCGTCCTTTGTACTGGTGGTCGTCCATGTCTGCCGATTGCGCCGAGTTCTGCCGTTCATGTGAAGACTGTACCCGAGGCAAGGCGTCCACTCAAGTCCCCTATGGCCGACTGCATCCGATGCCGATCCCTTCTGGTCCTTGGGAACAAGTGGCCATCGACTTCATGACAGGACTGCCTCCGGTCGAGCTCGAAGGGATGATGGTTGCTCAAATCATGGTGGTCACTGACACTTGGGGCAAGATGGTATGAAGGAACAATATACCACTGCACCAAAAGGCGAGGCACCTCTACTTCAGTGAGCGCATATTGTCCTAGAAGTGAGATGGAGCAAAGTTCAACACCCCCCTGTGCGCGAAGCTGAAGAGCTTGTGGCAGTGGGTGCGGCTGTGAGGCAACTGGGCATGTTGATCAGGTCGCTTGGGCAAGTGCAGCTTGGGCACTGTGAGCACTGTCGATGCGCCAGGGTGCTTGGCACGCCGCTGGGCAAGTGCGGGGGCCGGGACGCTGAGTGTATGCGCGCAAAATTGCCTGACCCCAGGGGGGATTGAACTCATGACCTGCTGGTTGCTCTGGGCTCATAACCTATGAGATGATCACCACTACTGTCAGGAGAAGTCGAGAGTCGAACAGAAGTGATCTATTTCAGCGTACCTATGAGATGATCACCACTACTGTCAGGAGAAGTCGAGAGTCGAACAGAAGTGATGAGAAGGAAGCTAAGAAATGGAAAGGTGGCCCGCGCTGGGATATGCCCAGGCGCGGGCGAAATCGCTGGAGCGCTGAGGCAGTCGCGCGCGGCTAAGTCCCCACTGCAAGGGCGGGCTAGCGGCGCGCGCCCGAAAACCGCCGGCGCCGGCGCGCTGAGGCACTCGCGCGCGCCTAAGTCCCCACCACAGGGGCCAGGCTAGCAGGCGCGCGCAACGACCGAGGCGCCCCTGTCGAGCTGAGAGTGGACTCTTCACACCCCCCCCCACGCGAATGCGAGGCAGATCCAAGCCGTGGGTGTCGAGTGCGAAGGCCTAGTGCGTAGCAGTGTGTCGAGAAAATCTTTGGGCCAAGAGCCTTTGTGAAGATGTCGGCCACCATGTTGCTGGTTCCCACATGCGAGAGTGAGATATCGCCCCGATTCACCATGTCCCGAACAAAGTGCTCGCGCAAGCGTATGTGTCGAGTGCCGGAGACGCGGACAGGGTCGTGGGCAACTGCGGCAGCGGCTTCATTGTCAGTAAAAATGTGAGCCGGTGCAACAGGTTGGACATGGAGCTCCTCGAGCAGCTGACTGAGGTAGATCCCTTCCTTGCCAGCATGCGAGAGGGCGAGGTATTCAGCGTCGGTGGTAGAATCGGCAACTCGAGATTGACGCTTGGACGACCAAGACACGGCGGATCCGGCAATGTAGAAGACGTAGCCATAGTGGACACCGACGTATCGACGCAGGCCCCCCAGTTCGCGTCGGAGTAGCCAACCACGCCCGTGATGCGTGTCTCGCCGCAAGCATAAACCAGTTCGTCGCGATATGTGGCCCGGAGATAGCGGAGGATGTGCTTGACCGCGATCCAGTGACGACGTCCAGGGTTGTTGGCGAAGCGGGCCAGGTAGGACACGGCGAAGGCGATGTCGGGGCGGGTGCCGAGCGAAATGTAGAGGAGCGAGCCGATAGCCTGCAGATACCATGACCTGATCCGTTCGGTGCCTTGACCCGGGATGGCGGTGAGCGAAAGGCCGGGGGTCATCGGGACTGTAGTGCCGCGAGTCGTGGTGTCGAAGTGGAACCGAGCAAGCACGTCCATGATGTACCGTTCCTGGGACAGGGCAATAGAACCGTCTTCGAGTCGCCTGATCTGGATGCCGAGGATGTACTCTGCCGGGCCGAGGCGCTTGACGCCGTAGCGTTGTTCGAGGCCCGAGATGACACGTTCAATTTCGGCCAAGTCGGGGCTGATCATCAGGAGGTCGTCGACGTACAGCGCGATGTAGTGTGGGCGTCGCCGATCGTCGATCCGAGAGTACACGCAGTGGTCGGTGCCCGTCGCCGTATAGCCGAGATCTCGAAGCGATGCGTCGATGTGTCGATTCCAGATTCGGCCAGCCTGTTTGAGTCCGTAGATGGAGCGTCGCAGACGAAGCACCTTGTCGGTGGGAAGGTCGAAGCCGCGCGGTGTCGTCATCCAGATGTCATGGTCAAGGTCGCCATGCAGATAGGCTTTGTCGATGTCCGCCTGGTGCACGTGCAAGCCGTTGGCGGCCGCCAGCGCGAGGAGTGAGCGTATCGAGGAGAAGCGTGCGACTGGTGCGAAGGTTTCGTTGAAGTCGATGCCGTCGCGTTGCCGATTTCCCTGCGCCACGAGCCGTGCCTTGTGGCCGGTGACTTCGCCGAGTGCATTCCGTTTCGTTTTCCAGACGAACTTGGATGTGACGATGGTCGCACCCGCTGGTACCGTGGATCGGTCCTCGATGGTGAAGACCTTGAAGTCGTCGCGCATGGAATTGAACTCGTCGGTAGCGGCCTTGGCCCACACTTCGCGCTTGTCACTCGACATTGCCTCGCGCCATGTCTGTGGGTCGCTGGTGATGGACTTGACTGGTTGAATGGCTTCTGTGTCAGAGTTGTCGTCGTCGGTGGCGATGAAGGCGCGGTGGTGTTGGGTGAGGAAATCGATTTCGTCCGGCGATTCATCGCGCGAGTGGCGCCCAATGATGTCGAGTTCGTCGGGCGACTCCTCAGCCGATGCGGGCTCACGGTACGTGCTGAAGTCTGGGCGGTGCACGTCCGGTGGGCCGAGGCGAGTCGGGGTCTGTGAGCCGATGAGGTCCAGAGGGTCGGCGGAGTAGTCAGAGTCGGTCGGTAAGGCCGAGGGTGACGATGACGCAGCCAACGACGGTGACAGCGCAGGCGACGGTGACAAGGGAGTTGCGGGCGACGGTGACGAGGACGGCTCAGGAGACGGTGACGAGGACGATTCGGCATCTGTGGAATTAAGTAAGGTTCCGCCAGTGTACCCTGGGGCCACGTCAACGGCGCTCATGGCAGAGTCATCAAGAGAGGATGAGACGTCCATGTGCGCCGACCTTACTAGTGGGGTCCATGTCTTGACAACGGCTTGGGATTCGGTGGTCGGGCAAGCGCTGGCGAAGTGCGTGTCGGCGTCTTGCTCGGTGGAGTCGCTACGTAACCCGGGAAATTCGTTGTCGAGGAACCTGGCATTTCTGCCCAAACTGATCTTCTTGGTCGTCGTGTCGTAGAAACGGAAGGCTTTAGAAGCCAGGTCATAGCCGGTGAAGAGAACGCGAACCGCTTTCGGGTCGAGTTTCGAGCGAAGTTCAGGCGCGACTGTGAGCCAAGCCGTGCAGCCGAACGGGTGAAGCGCCGAGGCGTTGGTGCGGTCGCCCTGCCAGGCGAAGTTCGGTGTTGCCTTGTCCAGGGCCGAGTGTTCGCACAGGTTCTTGCAGTAGACGAAATAAGCTGCTGCCTCCTCCCAGAATGATTTGGGTAAGTGGGCGTCTGCAAGGAGGGCAAGGACACCTTCGACGATAGAACGATTGACTCGTTCGGCACGACCGTTCTGTTGAGGCGTTCGAGGGATAGAGTATTGTCGACGTGTGCCGCGTGCCTTACAGAATTCCGTGAACGCTCTCGAACAGTATTCGCCACCATTGTCGGTTCGGAGGACCTTCAGTTTTGCATCCGTCTCGAGTTCGACCTCGGCAAGCCATGTCTTGAACACGCCAAAGACTTCGCTTTTGTGTCCGATCGCGTATGCCCACAGTTTGCGCGAGAAGTCGTCAAGAAACGTGACCAGGTAACGCTTGCCAGTCAAGGACGACTCGGGAAAGGAAAGCACATCGCTGTGTACGAGGCCGAGTCTCTCTGAGGAGTGCGAGTCCGAATCGGGAAAAGGAAGACGATGGCCCTTTGCACTGAGGCAAGCATTGCAGACAAACTTCTCTACCTCTTCGTCACTATATCCGGCCCCGAGACCTTCCAGCAAACCAGCGGCAACCATCTTCTGTATGGACGACGGTGCGAGATGGCCGAGGCAGCGGTGAAGGGTCAGCAGGGGCACGGAAGACTGTGAGCGAGAGAGGAGAGCGAGATGCTGACATTTGGAATGATCAGCGTCCAGCAAGTAGAGCCCTTCCTCGAGTCTTGCGCCTTCAGCGATAGCATTGCCGTTCTTGTCGATATGGATGCCGTGCTTCGTGAAGGCGACACGGACATCGTCGGTGTCGCAAAGTCGAGAGACCGAGAGGAGGTTGACAGACAGGCCCGGGGTGTGCAGCACGCCGGTAAGCGTGATCGGGTGACCGGAGGCGGCAACAAAGGCGATGTTTCCCGTTCCGACGGCGTTGATGCCCCCTGCAATACCACCAATCTTCGTAGGAGCGATGTGGCGATAGGCCGTGAACAGCGACTTGTCCGAGACCATGTGCGAAGTGTGAGGAATCCACTCTCCGCTCGGCTCAGGACTTAGGCGCGCGGAGCGAACCGGGCGCGGACTTAGGCGCGCGGAGTGAGCCGGGCGCCCCGGCCCAGGACTTAGGCGCGCGAAGCGAGCCTGGGACTTAGGCGCGCGGAGCGAGCCTGGGCCATTGGCTCAGCCCCAGGCTCGCTGGCTGTGGACTTGGGGCGCGCGGGTCTCTTATTGTTAGCTTCCTATTCATCACTCTTGGCTATAACTACATCGCTGACGTAGTAGAGTTGATTGAATAGGTATGTTGAAATGCATTCATCACTCTTGGCTATAACTACATCGCTGACGTAGTAGAGTTGATTGAATAGGTTATAAGCCCACGAGCTACCAGCCCCGCCGCTTGAGGCTTTTTCGCTCGAGCCCAGCCACTCGAGCCGCACACGTCCATCGCACCATCACATCATGGACAGCTCTCCCGCCTCGCCTTTGGCCCCCAGGGATCCCAGCTCCCCTGAATCTTCGATCGGCGAACAAATCGCCACTCTACAGGCCCAGCTTGCCGCTCTGCAGGCCTCGCAACCCGCCGTCGCCGCAGCCGCCGCACCCCCGGCCGTCACCGTCGTGCCGGGGAACGCCGCCACCGCATCCAAGGTCGTGTTTCCCAAGCACGCTCGTCTGGACGGCCCCAAGTCGTTCACCAACTGGTTGCGTCAACTCCGTCTTGCACTCCCGAACCAGGTTCGTGGTTACGTTCTCGACGGTGTCGTTCCCCCGACCTGGACCGCCGACCAGCTTGCCGCACGTGACGACGCCGCCCGGGAAATCATCGTTGGCTCTATCGACTCCGCCGACGTATCGGCCACCCTCGACGCCATCCCCAGCGACGACCTGTCGGCACCGCGCATCTTTGCCGCTCTCAAGGCTCGTTTTGCACCGGACGACGCTACACGCACTCTCGAGTTGTTCGCTCGCCTTTGGGACTTCAGGAAGATGCCTGCCTCCGTCGAGGCCTACGACACTTGGCTACGCGAGTACATGTCGATTGCTCAAGAAATACGCGACGCCAAAACATCGCTCAACGACGTGCTCGCCACCCACGTGCTCGCCATGGTCCCGTCTTGCCTCGACAGCTTCCGACTCACGTTCACGGACGAGCAGCGAAACCGACGCGACCTTCCCGAACTCACGACGCTTACGGACCGCATTCGCATCCAGCTTCGTTCGGCAGGACTCTCGACCTCGCATTCGGCCATGCTTGCCACCAGCTCCCCCTGCCCCGCCTGCCGCGCTCCCGGTCACCGCCTGCGCGACTGCACTTCACGTGCGAAGCACCCGCCCACCGGCCCCTGCCGCCGATGCCACAAGAAAGGTCACTGGGCACTCGACTGCAAGAACCGGGGTGAACAGGCACGTAGCAGCGACGACACCCAGGACGACACGTCTTCCTCCGCGGCCTCGCAACCGAACGTCGGCTATTTCGCCTCCTGCCTCTTCGCTCGTCGCCAACTCCCAACTGACGCCTTTGTAGTCGATTCGGGTGCCACGACACACATGGTCGCCGACCGATCTCTATTCACGACTTATCGTCAGACGGCACACACCAAGATCGGCGGCATCGCGGGCGGCATCACGGCTATCGGCATGGGGGACGTGGCATTCGTCGCCAAGACTGGACACCCGATCACGCTCCGTGGTGTTCTTCACACGCCTGGCCTACACGTCAACCTCCTCTCTGTCTCTCGCCTCTGCGACACCGACCGCGTTCGTCTCGCCTTCACCAGCGACGGCATCGACATCGCCAAGGACGGCCGGGCCATTGCTCACGGTACCAGGGTCAACGACGGTCTTTACCTTTTGGACGCGGATCACACCAAGTGTCAGCATCTTGCCTTCCTCTCACGCTCTGAGTCTCCCGTGCCCCTGCTTACCCTACACCGCTGCCTCGGCCATCTTGCCCCATCCTCTATACAGAAGATGATTGCTGCAGGTTTGCTGGACGGGTTTGGGGCCGGGTACAGTGACAAAGACGTAGAGGAGTTTGTTTGCAATGCTTGCCTTGGTTCCAAAGGTCACCGCCTTCCCTTTCCCGACTCTGAGTCGCATTCCGCCGAGAGACTTGGCCTCGTGCACAGCGACATCCTGTCGTTCCCCACTCCGTCCTTGACCGGGAAGCGCTACCTTGTCACGTTTCTAGACGACCACTCTCGCAAACTCTGGGCATATGCGATCGATCACAAAAGCGATGTTTTCCCGACCTTCCAGACTTGGCTCGCCGAAGTGGAGTTAGAGACGAACGCGCGGTTGAGAATCCTTCGAACCGACAATGGCGGGGAGTACCGATCAAACGCATTCACGGAGTTCTGCAAATCCAAGGGCATTCGTCGTCAATACTCTATCCCTTACACGCCTCAACAAAACGGTCGCGCCGAACGTGTCAACCTCTCCATCGTCGAGGGCGTCCTCGCTCTCCTTGCGGACGCCCGTCTGCCGGCCACCTTTTGGGATGAAGCGGCTGCGTATTTCGTTTATTGCAAAAACAGGTGCTCACACTCAGCTTTGGCCAAACAGACTCCAGAATCCGTTTGGAACGGCCAACGCACCACCGCCACCGCCCTCCACCCGTTCGGCTGCACAGCCTGGCTCACGGTCGCCCCGGACCTTCGCAGCAAGCTCGACCCCAAGGCCGCGCGCGTGATCTTCACAGGTTACGACCTCGCCTCCAAAGCTTTCCGTTTCTTTGACCATTCCATCAACAAGATTGTACTTGGTCGCAATGCCACCTTCCTCGACGACGACTTCCCCGGCCTGCCAGTCACCACGCCCGTCGATGCAGACGACACCGACCGTCAGTTCGTCGTTCCCGCCGACACGCCCGCCCCTGCCGTCAAGACGAGGACCCCACTAGTAAGGTCGGCGCACATGGACGTCTCATCCTCCCTTGATGATTCTGCCATGAGCGCCGTTGACGTGGCCCCAGGGTACACTGGCGGAACCTTACTTAATTCCACAGATACCGAATCGTCCTCGTCACCGTCTCCTGAGCCGTCCTCGTCACCGTCGCCCACAAACCCTTTGTCACCGTCGCCTGCGCTGTCACCGTCGTTGGCAGCGTCATCGTCACCCTCGGTCTCACCGACCGACTCTGACTACTCCGCCGACCCTCTGGACCTCATCGGCTCACAGACCCCGACTCGCCTTGGCCCACCGGACGTGCACCGCCCAGACTTCAGCACGTACCGTGAGCCCGCATCGGCTGAGGAGTCGCCCGACGAACTCGACATCATTGGGCGTCACTCGCGCGATGAATCGCCGGATGAAATCGATTTCCTCACCCAACACCACCGCGCCTTCATCGCCACAGACGACGACGACCCCACCCTCGACGCCATCGAGCCCGTCAAATCGATCACTAGCGACCCCCAGACCTGGCGCGAAGCAATGTCCAGCGACGAGCACAACATCTGGGCTGAGGCCGCCGCCGCCGAGTTCACCGCCATGCGCGACGACTTCAAGGTGTTCACCATCGAGCCTCGCTCATCTGTACCGCCGGGCGCCACCATCGTCACCTCCAAATTCGTCTGGAAGACCAAGCGCAACGCAAGCGGTGAAGTCACGGGGCGGAAGGCACGTCTTGTAGCGCAGGGTAACCGACAGCGCGACGGCATCGACTTCTCAGAAACCTTCGCACCCGTCGCCCGTTTCTCCTCCATTCGCTGCCTCCTGGCTCTTGCCGCTGCCAATGGCTACCACGTTCATCAGGCCGACATCGACAAGGCTTACCTCCACGGCGAGCTCGATCATGATATCTGGATGACGACACCACGCGGTTTCGACTTCCCGAGCGATAAGGTTCTCCGGCTGCGACGCTCAATCTACGGTCTCAAGCAGGCCGGTCGCATCTGGAATCGTCACATTGACACATCACTCAGGAATCTGGGGTACAAGGCAACAGGCACTGATCACTGCATTTACTCTCGCATTGACGATCAGCAGCGGCCTCACTATATCGCCTTGTATGTCGACGACCTCCTCATTGTCAGTCCAGCCCTCGACGAGATCGAACGTGTCATCTCCGGCCTTGAACAGCGGTACGGCGTCAAACGACTCGGCCCCGCGGAGTACATCCTCGGAATCCAAATACGCCGCCTGGACGACGGTTCCATTGCTCTATCCCAGGAGCGCTACATCATGGACGTGCTGGCCCGTTTCCACTTCGACACCACGACACGCGGCACTACGGTGCCGATGACGCCCGGCCTCTCGCTCACGGCAATTCCGGGTCAGGGAACGGAGCGCATTCGTTCGTGGTACCTACAGGCCATCGGCTCCCTCCTCTACATCTCCCTTGGCACTCGACCCGACATTGCCTTCGCCGTCTCGTACCTGTCCCGGTTCGCCAACAACCCCGGCCGCCGCCATTGGATTGCCGTCAAACACGTCCTTCGCTACCTTCGCGCCACGTACCGCGATGAGCTTCTCTATGCCCGCGGCCCAGCAAAAGTCACGGGTGTGGTTGGTTATTCTGATGCGAACTGGGGCGCCTGCGTCGACACATCCATTTCAACGATGGGCTACGTATTTTACTTGGCAGGCGCCGCTGTCTCTTGGTCGTCGAAGCGTCAGACTCGGGTAGCGGATTCCACCACTGATGCCGAGTACCTGGCCTTGTCGCACGCGGGTAAGGAAGCGATCTACCTTAACCAACTCCTCTCCGAGCTCCACGTTTGCCCAATCGCTGCAGCTCACATCTTCACCGACAACGAGGCCGCGGCCGCCGTCGCTCACGACCCCGTTCGCACCTCCGGCACCCGGCACATTCGCCTCCGCGAGCATTTTGTCCGTGACATGGTCAATCGAGGTGATATCTCTCTCTCACACGTTGGCACAGCAGACATGGTTGCGGACGTATTCACCAAAGCGCTAGGCCCCAAGATTTTTGGTACACATTGCTATGCTCTAGGCCTCCGGACGCGACATCCACGGCTCAAGTCTACCTCGCGTTCGCGTGGGGGGGGGTGTGAGGAATCCACTCTCCGCTCGGCTCAGGACTTAGGCGCGCGGAGCGAACCGGGCGCGGACTTAGGCGCGCGGAGTGAGCCGGGCGCCCCGGCCCAGGACTTAGGCGCGCGAAGCGAGCCTGGGACTTAGGCGCGCGGAGCGAGCCTGGGCCATTGGCTCAGCCCCAGGCTCGCTGGCTGTGGACTTGGGGCGCGCGGGTCTCTTATTGTTAGCTTCCTATTCATCACTCTTGGCTATAACTACATCGCTGACGTAGTAGAGTTGATTGAATAGGTATGTTGAAATGCATTCATCACTCTTGGCTATAACTACATCGCTGACGTAGTAGAGTTGATTGAATACGAAGTGGCACCCGAGTCGACGACGAAGGAGTTGTTGCGAAGCTGACGACGATGTGCGAGAAGACCGGTGGCGAGACATCCGACATGGTGTTGCGCATCAGAGGTGTCGGGCGTTTTCCCGTCCTCAAGAGCCTTTTTGCAGTCGAAAGACCAGTGGTCCTTCTTCTTGCAGGAGCGACACGGGCCTGGCGGTGGATGCTGGGCCCTTGTAGGGCATTGTGCGACGCGGTGAGAAGGGCTGCGACAGGCGAGGCACTTGGTACGGGTAGAACGTGGCGACGACGAGGCAAGGAGGGCCGATTGATCGTTGGAGAGGTTCGTTGACCGGAGTTGAACTCGCATACGGTCGGCCACTGAATCGATGTCAGGGAGAGTTCGTTGCGTGCGTTGTTCGTCGGTGAACGTTGCCTTGAAGCTCTCGAGTGACGGGTGGGCGATCGCGAGGAGGAGTGTGGCAAGGACGTCGTTGATCGTCGTTTTCGTATCGATGATCTCTTGCGCGACCGACTTGAAGTCCATGATCCAACTGTCAAATTCGCCAACCGTTCCGGGCATGGGTCGGAAGCCCCAGAGTCGCGAGAAGAGCTCGAGCGTGCGAGTGGCGTCATCAGGGGCGTATCGCGATTTCAGCGTCGAGTAAATCTTGGGCGCTGTGAGGTCGGCCGTAGGGATCTTGTCGAGGACTGCCGAGACTTCGGCCGAGTCGATTGAGTTTGCAAGGATCTCGCGTGCCACGACGTCGCGGGCGGAGCGTTGCGAAGGCGTCCAATCGTCGGGGGTGATTCCGTCGAGGACGTAGGAGCGGATGTCGTCCGCTAGGCACAGGCGAAGCTGGCGTGTCCAGTTCGCGAACGTCTTCGGCCCGTCCAACCGCGCATGCTTCGGGAAGGCATTGCGATTGGAGCCGGATGTCGTGGCGGGTGCGGTAGTGCCGGAAGCGGCAGCGGTGAGTCCCGACAGCAGCGATGTAAGTGCGGCAAGCTGTTCGGCGGGAATTGTCGGGGTGGCGCTCGTCGCGAGGGTTGACGACGTGTCCATGCCAGCGGTAGCTCGATGGGCTTATAACCTATGAAGGAACAATATACCACTGCACCAAAAGGCGAGGCACCTCTACTTCAGTGAGCGCATATTGTCCTAGAAGTGAGATGGAGCAAAGTTCAACAGATGGTCCACCTGATTCCCCTCCCAGCCGATGCCGACTCGGAGCTCGTTGCCGAGAAGTACTACGCCACCGTCTTCCGACTGCATGGGATGCCTTCCGCCATCGTTTCCGACCGTGATCCCAAGTTCACCTCGCAGTTTTGGCGGGCATTGCAGGCAAAGATTGGCACCGTCTTGCGAATGTCAACCGCGGCACACCCCGAGACGGACGGATCGAGCGAGAATCGGATCAAGATGGTCACCCAAACCCTGCGGATCATGGTCTCGTCAAACCACGAGGCTTGGGCATCTCGTCTTGTTGAAGCTGAGTTCGCTCTTAACTCTTCTGTTGCTGTGTCCACGTCGCTGTCGGCTTTTGAGGCAACCTACGGCTACCTTCCTCGACGTTGGCCCTCGGATTCCTGGTCTGTCTCGGACGTCCCTCGTGCGGAAGCGTTTGCTCGGATCCGACAATTACGGAACCTTGACGTGACGGATGCGATCATTGGAGCACGCCTCAACCAGTCCCATCAGGCCAACAAGCATCGACGCCCAGACGACCCCGCCTTTCGGACCGGCAGTTACGTCTATCTTTCGACAAAGAACCTGGCAGTTCCTGACGGCATGAAGTCGAAGTTGTTGCCGCGCTACATCGGCCCCTTCCGTATCCGAGCGGCCATCCCTGCGACGTCCAGCTACGACCTCGAGCTCCCTCCAGCGATGTCGCGAGTGCACAATCGTTTCCATGCTCGACTGCTTCGGCCTTGCGTTGAGAATGATGCTGAAAGGTTTCCTGGGCGTGACCCCGCAGTTCTTTTTGTCGAAGACGTAGCCGACGCAGCCGACAATTCTGCGATTCCGGAACGGATTGTTCGCGATCGGCGGAACGCTCGGGGCGCTCGTTCGTTCTTGGTTCGATGGGTAGGCCGTAACGACACCGACGATACTTGGATGTCAGAGCAGTCCATTCGCCTTGTGTCAGGAGCACAGCCTGCACTGCCATCAATACTCGAAGGAAGTCTCCCAAGTTTGCGGCCGGAGTCGACATCAGCTACCGGTTTGTTCGTTGCAAGCATTGTCGGCGCGATGGTGTAGTCGTGAGGGCGCGCGGGCGCGCACTCAGTGGTCGAGGGTTCGATCCGCCCGGAGCGTGATCTGCCTTTTGGTTTCTTTTCCTTTTTGTTATCCGAGGCCCGGCTTCGGGGTTTTTACCGGTGCCTTGCAGGCAATCCTTTTTACCCCTGAAGCGACCTCGTGGTGTAGTTATTTGATTCAGTCTTTCCTTCGCTGGGAGCACTTCCCTCCCTTTGCTTTTGCCACCCTTCCCCTAGAGCTTGGTCCACTCATTATCATGACTCGTACCCTCCCTCTTTTTACCCATTTCGCTGGCAATTAAGTCCGTTACACTTGATTTGCTGCGAAGCCTTCCGACCGAATCCACTCCTCGGTTGCTCTCGGTCGACTGCCGCCGCCCAGCCGACTCGACCTTCCCATCGGCCTGGTCAGCTATTTCTTGGATCGTTTGCCCTTCCTCTTTTGTCCGACCTCGTTGGCCACCATAGTCCGGTACACTGGACTTGCTGCGAGCCTTGCAGCCGCGTATCCTCCGCGGTTGCCTCTCGGTCGACTTCCGCCGCCCAGCCGACTCGACCTTCCCACCGGCCTGGTCAGCTATTTCTTGGATCGTTTGCCCTCCCTCTTCTGTCCGACCTCGTTGGCTACCATAGTTCGGTACACTGGACTTGCTGCGAGCCTTGCAGCCGCGTATCCTCCGCGGTTGCCTCTCGGTCGACTGCCGCCGCCTCGGTCGACACCCCTTTCGCTCCTTCGCGCTTTCGCGCGCTCTCTCGCTCTCTCCCTCGTCTCTCGCGTGTAGTCATCGTCATCCCCTCCGACGTTGCCTGTCACCTTGACCATCCGTCCGTCCTCGACGCCTACCTCGCGCGCCTCGATCGCTCGAACCGCCGCCTCGCCGCACGGTAGACTTCCTTCTGGGGGGGACAGTGTCAGGATGACAGCGTGTACTCGAAGGAAGCCCCCCAAGGCTATGTGCGGGTAGAGTTGACTTGACCAGAGGCTTGCCTCGTTTCACAGCATCGTCGGTGCGATGGCGTAGTCGTGAGGCGCGCAGGCGCGCACTCGGTGGTCGCGGGTTCGAGGCGCCCAGACCGCAGTCTTCTTTCGGTTTGTTTTATCTTTTGTTAGCCGAGGCGCGGCTTCAGGGTTTTTACCGGTGCTCCCGCGAGCAATCCTTTTTACCCCTGAGGCGACCTCTTGGAGTGGTTGATTTGGCTAAGTCCCCTCTGGGCCTGGCACAGTCCCTTCCCTTTAGTTTACCACCTTTCCCTGGGAGCTTGGTCCGCTCTTCTCTTTTGTTGCCCCTCCTCTTCTTGTCGATCGTTTGGGAATTAAGTCCGTTACACTTGATTTCCTGCGAGCCTTTCGACCGACTCCCCTCCTCGGTTGCTCCCTTGTCGACTGCCGCCGCAACAGCCGACACTTCCTGAAATCCCCCCCCCCCCGTACCAACGCGTGTAGACGACGTCATCCCCTCCGACGTCGCTTGTCAGTCCTGGACGAGCAGTCGCCCCCACTCTCTGAGCCTGAGTCTTCAGCCTCCTCTCCGTTGCCGAATTCATCACCAACGAACGCGTCGCTGTCCTTCCCGACTTCCTCCACAGAGTCTGACGACGAACACGTTTATCCTGTGAAGAGTCCACTCTCAGCTCGACAGGGGCGCCTCGGTCGTTGCGCGCGCCTGCTAGCCTGGCCCCTGTGGTGGGGACTTAGGCGCGCGCGAGTGCCTCAGCGCGCCGGCGCCGGCGGTTTTCGGGCGCGCGCCGCTAGCCCGCCCTTGCAGTGGGGACTTAGCCGCGCGAGACTGCCTCAGCGCTCCAGCGATTTCGCCCGCGCCTGGGCATATCCCAGCGCGGGCCCCCTTTCCATTTCTTAGCTTCCTTCTGATCACTTCTGTTCGACTCTCGACTTCTCCTGACAGTAGTGGTGATCATCTCATAGGTTATAAGCCCATCGAGCTACCGCTGGCATGGACACGTCGTCAACCCTCGCGACGAGCGCCACCCCGACAATTCCCGCCGAACAGCTTGCCGCACTTACATCGCTGCTGTCGGGACTCACCGCTGCCGCTTCCGGCACTACCGCACCCGCCACGACATCCGGCTCCAATCGCAATGCCTTCCCGAAGCATGCGCGGTTGGACGGGCCGAAGACGTTCGCGAACTGGACACGCCAGCTTCGCCTGTGCCTAGCGGACGACATCCGCTCCTACGTCCTCGACGGAATCACCCCCGACGATTGGACGCCTTCGCAACGCTCCGCCCGCGACGTCGTGGCACGCGAGATCCTTGCAAACTCAATCGACTTGGCCGAAGTCTCGGCAGTCCTCGACAAGATCCCTACGGCCGACCTCACAGCGCCCAAGATTTACTCGACGCTGAAATCGCGATACGCCCCTGATGACGCCACTCGCACGCTCGAGCTCTTCTCGCGACTCTGGGGCTTCCGACCCATGCCCGGAACGGTTGGCGAATTTGACAGTTGGATCATGGACTTCAAGTCGGTCGCGCAAGAGATCATCGATACGAAAACGACGATCAACGACGTCCTTGCCACACTCCTCCTCGCGATCGCCCACCCGTCACTCGAGAGCTTCAAGGCAACGTTCACCGACGAACAACGCACGCAACGAACTCTCCCTGACATCGATTCAGTGGCCGACCGTATGCGAGTTCAACTCCGGTCAACGAACCTCTCCAACGATCAATCGGCCCTCCTTGCCTCGTTGTCGCCACGTTCTGTGAAGAGTCCACTCTCAGCTCGACAGGGGCGCCTCGGTCGTTGCGCGCACTTGCTAGCCCGCCCCCGGCGGTGGGGACTTAGACGCGCGCGACTGCCTCAGCGCGCCAGCGCCGGCGGATTCATGCGCGCGCCCGCTAGCCCGCCCCCTTGCGGTGGGGACTTAGGCGCGCCGGCGATTTCACCCGCGGCTGACTTAGGGATGTACATTGTCACGCGCCTGGGACTATCCCAGCGTGGCCCCCCCCTTTCTGTTTCTTAGCTTCCTTCTCATCACTTCTGTTCGACTCTCAACCTCTCCTGACAGTAGTGGTGAACGTCTCATAGGTACGCTGAAATAGATCACTTCTGTTCGACTCTCAACCTCTCCTGACAGTAGTGGTGAACATCTCATAGGTTATAAGCCCACGAGCCACCAGCTGGCATGACCACGACACCACCCCTCGCGACGGGTGCCAACCCTCCGATTCCCGCCGAACAGCTCGCCGCACTTACATCGCTGCTGTCGGGTCTCACCGCTGCCGCTTCCGGCACTGCCACACCCGCCACGACGTCCGGCACCACTCGCACTGCCTTTCCAAAGCACGCACGCTTGGATGGTGCGAAGACCTTCGCGAACTGGACACGCCAACTTCGCCTGTGCCTAGCGGACGACATCCGCTCGTACGTCCTCGACGGTATCGCACCCGACGACTGGACACCTTCGCAACGCTCCGCTCGCGACGCCGTCGCTCGTGAGGTCCTTGCGAATTCGATTGACTCGGCCGAAGTCTCGGCAGTCCTCGACAAAATCCCTACCGCCGACCTGACAGCGCCGACAATCTACTCGACGCTGAAATCGCGGTACGCCCCTGACGACGCCACCCGCACGCTCGAGCTCTTCTCACGACTCTGGGGTTTCCGTCCCATGCCCGGCACGGTTGCCGAATTCGACGGGTGGATCATGGACTTCAAAGCCGTTGCGCAAGAGATCATCGACACAAAGACAACTATCAATGATGTTCTCGCCACACTCCTCCTTGCAATCGCCCACCCGTCCCTCGAGAGCTTCAAGGCGTCGTTCACCGATGAACAGCGCACGCAACGAACTCTCCCCGACATTGATTCGCTTGCCGACCGTATGCGAGTCCAACTTCGGTCAACGAACATCCCCAGCACTCAATCGGCCCTTCTTGCCTCGTCGTCGTCACGTTCTACTCGTCTCAAGTGTCTCGCCTGTCGCAGCCCTTCGCACCGAGTCGCGGAGTGCCCTACGAGGGCGCAACACCCGCCGCCAGGACCCTGTCGCTCCTGCAAGAAGAAGGATCACTGGTCTCTCGACTGCAAGAAGGCGCTCGAGGACGGCAAAATGTTGAACTTCGCTCCATCTCACTTCTAGGACAATATGCGCTCACTGAAGTAGAGGTGCCTCGCCTTTTGGTGCAGTGGTATATTGTTCCTTCATAGGTTATGAGCCCAGAGCAACCAGCAGGTCATGAGTTCAATCCCCCCTGGGGTCAGGCAATTTTGCGCGCATACACTCAGCGTCCCGGCCCCCGCACTTGCCCAGCGGCGTGCCAAGCACCCTGGCGCATCGACAGTGCTCACAGTGCCCAAGCTGCACTTGCCCAAGCGACCTGATCAACATGCCCAGTTGCCTCACAAGCCGCACCCACTGCCACAAGCTCTTCAGCTTCGCGCACAGGGGGGTGTTGAACTTCGCTCCATCTCACTTCTAGGACAATATGCGCTCACTGAAGTAGAGGTGCCTCGCCTTTTGGTGCAGTGGTATATTGTTCCTTCATACAAAAAGCCCGACACCGCTGACTCGACCGTCGACTCGCAACACCATGTCGGATGTCTCGCCACCGGTCTTCTCGCTCGTCGTCGCCAGCTTCGCAACCACTCTTTTGTCGTCGACTCGGGCGCCACTTCGCACATGGTCTCGGACAAGTCGCTGTTCACGACCTATCGCCATATCGCTCCTACGAAGATTGGTGGTATTGCAGGGGGCATCAACGCCATCGGAACGGGAAACATCGCCTTCATTGCCGCCTCGGGTCATCCGATCACGCTTACCGGCGTGCTGCACACTCCGGGCCTGTTTGTCAATCTTCTCTCGGTCTCTCGACTTTGCGACACCGACGATGTCCGTGTCGCCTTCACAAAACACGGCATCCACATTGACAAGGACGGCAACGACATCGCTGAAGGCGCACGACTCGACGAAGGGCTCTACTTGCTGGACGCTGATCATTCCAAATGTCAGCACCTTGCTCTCCTTTCTCGCTCACAGTCGTCCGTGCCCCTGCTGACTCTCCATCGCTGCCTCGGCCATCTCGCACCGTCCTCCATACAGAAGATGGTTGCCGCTGGTTTGCTGGAGGGTCTCAGGGCCGGATATAGTGACGAAGAGGTAGAGAAGTTTGTCTGCAATGCTTGCCTCAGCGCAAAGGGCCATCGTCTTCCCTTTCCCGATTCGGATTCGCACTCCTCAGAGAGACTCGGCCTTGTACACAGCGATGTGCTTTCCTTCCCCGAGCGGTCCTTGACTGGCAAACGTTACCTGGTCACATTCCTTGACGATTACTCGCGCAAACTCTGGGCCTACGCAATCGGACACAAAAGCGAAGTCTTCGGCATATTCAAAACTTGGCTAGCCGAGGTTGAACTCGAGACGGGTGCGACGCTGAAGGTCCTCCGAACCGACAACGGTGGCGAATACTGTTCGAGAGCGTTCACAGAGTTCTGCAAGACACGAGGCACCCGTCGACAATACTCTATCCCACGCACGCCTCAACAGAACGGTCGTGCAGAGCGGGTCAATCGTTCCATTGTCGAAGGCGTCCTTGCCCTCCTTGTCGACGCCCACCTACCCAAGACATTCTGGGAGGAGGCTGCAGCTTATTTCGTTTACTGCAAGAACCTGTGTCAACACGCGGCCCTGGACAAGGCAACACCAAACTCCGTCTGGCAGGGTGACCACACCACTGCCTCGGCGCTTCACCCGTTCGGCTGTACAGCTTGGCTTACGGTCGCGCCCGAACTTCGCTCCAAACTCGACCCGAAGGCGGTTCGCGTTTTTTTCACCGGCTACGACCTGGCTTCAAAAGCCTTTCGCTTCTACGACACTACAACACAGAAGATTATACTTGGCAGAAATGCCACGTTCCTCGACACTGAATTCCCCGGATTACATGGCGACCCCACTGAGCAAGACGGCGACACGCACTTCGCCAGCGCTCCCACCACCGAATCTCAAACCGTTGTCAAGACATGGACCCCACTAGTAAGGTCGGCGCACATGGACGTCTCATCCCCCCTTGATGATTCTGCCATGAGCGCCGTTGACGTGGCCCCAGGGTACACTGGCGGAACCTTACTTAACTTCACAGATGCCGAATCGTCCTCGTCACCGTCGCCTGCGTCGCCCTCATCACCGTCGTCTGCGCCATCGCCTGCACTTTCACCATCGTCGGCTGCGTCATCGTCACCCTCGGCCTTACCGACCGACTCTGAAGACTCCGCCGATCCCCTCGACCTCCTCGGCTCACAGCCCCAGGTTCGCCTCGATCTACAGGACGTGCACCACCCAGACTTCAGCACGTACCGCGAGCCCGCATCGGCTGAGGAGTCGCCCGACGAACTCGACCTCATTGGGCGCCACTCTCGCGACGAATCTCCGGACGAAATCGATTTCCTCACCCGACACCACCGCGCCTTCATCGCCATCGACGACGACACCTCTGACACAGAGGCAATTCAGCCAGTCAAGTCCATCACGAGCGACCCACAGACCTGGCGCGAGGCGATGTCTAGCGACAAGCGTGAAGTATGGGCCAAAGCCGCCACCGACGAGTTCACCTCCATGCGCGACGACTTCAAGGTCTTCACCATCGAGGACCGAGCCACGGTGCCCGCGGGTGCGACTATCGTTACATCCAAGTTCGTCTGGAAAACGAAACGGAACGCACTCGGCGAAGTCACTGGACACAAGGCAAGGCTGGTCGCGCAAGGCAATCGGCAACGCGACGGCATCGACTTCAACGAAACGTTCGCACCGGTCGCACGCTTCTCCTCGATACGCTCACTCCTCGCGCTGGCGGCCGCCAACGGCTTGCACGTGCACCAGGCGGACATCGACAAAGCATATCTGCATGGCGACCTTGACCACGACATCTGGATGACGGCACCGCGCGGCTTCGACCTTCCCAGCGACAAGGTGCTTCGCCTGCGACGCTCCATCTACGGGCTCAAACAGGCTGGCCGAATCTGGAATCGACACATCGACGCTTCGCTTCGGGCCCTCGGTTACACGGCGACGGGCACCGACCACTGCGTATACTCTTGGCTCGATGATCGTCAATGTCCACACTACATCGCACTGTACGTCGACGACCTCCTGATGATCAGCCCGGAACTGGCCGAAATCGAACGTGTCATCTCAGGCCTGGACCAACGCTACGGAGTCAAGCGCCTCGGCCCGGCCGAGTATATCCTCGGCATCCAGATCAGGCGGTTCGACGACGGCTCTATCGCCCTATCCCAGGAACGGTACATCATGGACGTGCTCGCTCGGTTCCACTTCGACACCACGACTCGCGGCACTACAGTTCCGATGACTCCCGGCCTTTCGCTCACTGCTATCCCGGGTCAAGGCACCGAACGGATCAGGTCATGGTATCTGCAGGCTATCGGCTCGCTCCTCTACATTTCGCTCGGTACCCGCCCTGACATCGCCTTCGCCGTGTCCTACCTGGCCCGCTTCGCCAACAACCCCGGTCGTCGTCATTGGATTGCGGTCAAGCACATCCTACGCTATCTCCGGGCCACGTATCGCAACGAACTCGTGTATGCTCGCGGCCAGGCTCGCATCACGGGTGTGGTAGGCTACTCCGACGCGAACTGGGGGGCCTGCATCGACACATCGGTGTCCACCATGGGCTACGTCTTCTACATCGCTGGCTCGGCCGTGTCCTGGTCGTCCAAACGCCAGTCTCGAGTTGCCGATTCGACCACCGACGCTGAATACCTCGCCCTCTCGCATGCTGGCAAGGAAGGGATTTACCTCAGTCAGCTGCTCGAAGAGCTCCATGTACAACCTGTTGCACCGGCTCACATCTTTACTGACAACGAAGCCGCTGCTGCAGTTGCTCACGATCCTGTCCGCGTCTCTGGCACTCGGCACATACGCTTGCGTGAGCACTTCGTTCGGGACATGGTGAATCGGGGCGACATCTCTCTCTCGCATGTGGGTACCAGCGACATGGTGGCCGACATCTTCACCAAGGCTCTCGGCCCAAAGGTCTTCTCAACGCACTGCTACGCCCTCGGCCTTCGCACTCGACACCCGCGGCTTGGGTCTGCCTCGCATTCGCGTGGGGGGGGGTGTGAAGAGTCCACTCTCAGCTCGACAGGGGCGCCTCGGTCGTTGCGCGCACTTGCTAGCCCGCCCCCGGCGGTGGGGACTTAGACGCGCGCGACTGCCTCAGCGCGCCAGCGCCGGCGGATTCATGCGCGCGCCCGCTAGCCCGCCCCCTTGCGGTGGGGACTTAGGCGCGCCGGCGATTTCACCCGCGGCTGACTTAGGGATGTACATTGTCACGCGCCTGGGACTATCCCAGCGTGGCCCCCCCCTTTCTGTTTCTTAGCTTCCTTCTCATCACTTCTGTTCGACTCTCAACCTCTCCTGACAGTAGTGGTGAACGTCTCATAGGTACGCTGAAATAGATCACTTCTGTTCGACTCTCAACCTCTCCTGACAGTAGTGGTGAACGTCTCATACGTTCTACCCGTACCAAGTGCCTCGCCTGTCGCAGCCCTTCTCACCGCGTCGCACAATGCCCTACAAGGGCCCAGCATCCACCGCCAGGCCCGTGTCGCTCCTGCAAGAAGAAGGACCACTGGTCTTTCGACTGCAAAAAGGCTCTTGAGGACGGGAAAACGCCCGACACCTCTGATGCGCAACACCATGTCGGATGTCTCGCCACCGGTCTTCTCGCACATCGTCGTCAGCTTCGCAACAACTCCTTCGTCGTCGACTCGGGTGCCACTTCGCACATGGTCTCGGACAAGTCGCTGTTCACGGCCTATCGCCACATCGCTCCTACGTGTTGAACTTCGCTCCATCTCACTTCTAGGACAATATGCGCTCACTGAAGTAGAGGTGCCTCGCCTTTTGGTGCAGTGGTATATTGTTCCTTCATAGGTTATGAGCCCAGAGCAACCAGCAGGTCATGAGTTCAATCCCCCCTGGGGTCAGGCAATTTTGCGCGCATACACTCAGCGTCCCGGCCCCCGCACTTGCCCAGCGGCGTGCCAAGCACCCTGGCGCATCGACAGTGCTCACAGTGCCCAAGCTGCACTTGCCCAAGCGACCTGATCAACATGCCCAGTTGCCTCACAAGCCGCACCCACTGCCACAAGCTCTTCAGCTTCGCGCACAGGGGGGTGTTGAACTTCGCTCCATCTCACTTCTAGGACAATATGCGCTCACTGAAGTAGAGGTGCCTCGCCTTTTGGTGCAGTGGTATATTGTTCCTTCATACTACGAAGATTGGTGGTATTGCAGGGGGCATCAACGCCGTCGGAACGGGAAACATCGCCTTTGTTGCCGCCTCCGGTCACCCGATCACGCTTACCGGCGTGCTGCACACCCCGGGCCTGTCTGTCAACCTCCTCTCGGTCTCTCGACTTTGCGACACCGACGATGTCCGTGTCGCCTTCACGAAGCACGGCATCCATATCGACAAGAACGGCAATGCTATCGCTGAAGGCGCAAGACTCGAGGAAGGGCTCTACTTGCTGGACGCTGATCATTCCAAATGTCAGCATCTCGCTCTCCTCTCTCGCTCACAGTCTTCCGTGCCCCTCCTGACCCTTCACCGCTGCCTCGGCCATCTCGCACCGTCGTCCATACAGAAGATGGTTGCCGCTGGTTTGCTGGAAGGTCTCGGGGCCGGATATAGTGACGAAGAGGTAGAGAAGTTTGTCTGCAATGCTTGCCTCAGTGCAAAGGGCCATCGTCTTCCTTTTCCCGATTCGGACTCGCACTCCTCAGAGAGACTCGGCCTTGTGAGGAATCCACTCTCCGCTCGGCTCAGGACTTAGGCGCGCGGAGCGAACCGGGCGCGGACTTAGGCGCGCGGAGTGAGCCGGGCGCCCCGGCCCAGGACTTAGGCGCGCGAAGCGAGCCTGGGACTTAGGCGCGCGGAGCGAGCCTGGGCCATTGGCTCAGCCCCAGGCTCGCTGGCTGTGGACTTGGGGCGCGCGGGTCTCTTATTGTTAGCTTCCTATTCATCACTCTTGGCTATAACTACATCGCTGACGTAGTAGAGTTGATCGAATAGGTATGTTGAAATGCATTTATCACTCTTGGCTATAACTACATCGCTGACGTAGTAGAGTTGATCGAATAGGTTATGAGCCCAGAGCAACCAGCAGGTCATGAGTTCAATCCCCCCTGGGGTCAGGCAATTTTGCGCGCATACACTCAGCGTCCCGGCCCCCGCACTTGCCCAGCAGCGTGCCAAGCACCCTGGCGCATCGACAGTGCTCACAGTGCCCAAGCTGCACTTGCCCAAGCGACCTGATCAACATGCCCAGTTGCCTCACAGCCGCACCCACTGCCACAAGCTCTTCAGCTTCGCGCACAGGGGGGTGTTGAACTTCGCTCCATCTCACTTCTAGGACAATATGCGCTCACTGAAGTAGAGGTGCCTCGCCTTTTGGTGCAGTGGTATATTGTTCCTTCATAGGCCTCGTACACAGCGATGTGCTTTCCTTTCCCGAGTCGTCCTTGACTGGCAAGCGTTACCTGGTCACGTTTCTTGACGACTTCTCGCGCAAACTGTGGGCATACGCGATCGGACACAAAAGCGAAGTCTTTGGCGTGTTCAAGACATGGCTTGCCGAGATCGAACTCGAGACGGGTGCAAAACTGAAGGTCCTCCGAACCGACAATGGTGGCGAATACTGTTCGAGAGCGTTCACGGAATTCTGTAAGGCACGCGGCACACGTCGACAATACTCTATCCCTCGAACGCCTCAACAGAACGGTCGTGCCGAACGAGTCAATCGTTCTATCGTCGAAGGTGTCCTTGCCCTCCTTGCAGACGCCCACTTACCCAAATCATTCTGGGAGGAGGCAGCAGCTTATTTCGTCTACTGCAAGAACCTGTGCGAACACTCGGCCCTGGACAAGGCAACACCGAACTTCGCCTGGCAGGGCGACCGCACCAACGCCTCGGCGCTTCACCCGTTCGGCTGCACGGCTTGGCTCACAGTCGCGCCTGAACTTCGCTCGAAACTCGACCCGAAAGCGGTTCGCGTTCTCTTCACCGGCTATGACCTGGCTTCTAAAGCCTTCCGTTTCTACGACATGACGACCAAGAAGATCAGTTTGGGCAGAAATGCCAGGTTCCTCGACAACGAATTTCCCGGGTTACGTAGCGACTCCACCGAGCAAGACGCCGACACGCACTTCGCCAGCGCTTGCCCGACCACCGAATCCCAAGCCGTTGTCAAGACATGGACCCCACTAGTAAGGTCGGCGCACATGGACGTCTCATCCTCTCTTGATGACTCTGCCATGAGCGCCGTTGACGTGGCCCCAGGGTACACTGGCGGAACCTTACTTAATTCCACAGATGCCGAATCGTCCTCGTCACCGTCTCCTGAGCCGTCCTCGTCACCGTCGCCCGCAACTCCCTTGTCACCGTCGCCTGCGCTGTCACCGTCGTTGGCTGCGTCATCGTCACCCTCGGCCTTACCGACCGACTCTGACTACTCCGCCGACCCTCTGGACCTCATCGGCTCACAGACCCCGACTCGCCTCGGCCCACCGGACGTGCACCGCCCAGACTTCAGCACGTACCGTGAGCCCGCATCGGCTGAGGAGTCGCCCGACGAACTCGACATCATTGGGCGCCACTTATTCGATCAACTCTACTACGTCAGCGATGTAGTTATAGCCAAGAGTGATGAATGCATTTCAACATACCTATTCGATCAACTCTACTACGTCAGCGATGTAGTTATAGCCAAGAGTGATGAATAGGAAGCTAACAATAAGAGACCCGCGCGCCCCAAGTCCACAGCCAGCGAGCCTGGGGCTGAGCCAATGGCCCAGGCTCGCTCCGCGCGCCTAAGTCCCAGGCTCGCTTCGCGCGCCTAAGTCCTGGGCCGGGGCGCCCGGCTCACTCCGCGCGCCTAAGTCCGCGCCCGGTTCGCTCCGCGCGCCTAAGTCCTGAGCCGAGCGGAGAGTGGATTCCTCACACCCCCCCCCACGCGAACGCGAGGTAGACTTGAGCCGTGGATGTCGCGTCCGGAGGCCTAGAGCATAGCAATGTGTACCAAAAATCTTGGGGCCTAGCGCTTTGGTGAATACGTCCGCAACCATGTCTGCTGTGCCAACGTGTGAGAGAGAGATATCACCTCGATTGACCATGTCACGGACAAAATGCTCGCGGAGGCGAATGTGCCGGGTGCCGGAGGTGCGAACGGGGTCGTGAGCGACGGCGGCCGCGGCCTCGTTGTCGGTGAAGATGTGAGCTGCAGCGATTGGGCAAACGTGGAGCTCGGAGAGGAGTTGGTTAAGGTAGATCGCTTCCTTACCCGCGTGCGACAAGGCCAGGTACTCGGCATCAGTGGTGGAATCCGCTACCCGAGTCTGACGCTTCGACGACCAAGAGACAGCGGCGCCTGCCAAGTAAAATACGTAGCCCATCGTTGAAATGGATGTGTCGACGCAGGCGCCCCAGTTCGCATCAGAATAACCAACCACACCCGTGACTTTTGCTGGGCCGCGGGCATAGAGAAGCTCATCGCGGTACGTGGCGCGAAGGTAGCGAAGGACGTGTTTGACGGCAATCCAATGGCGGCGGCCGGGGTTGTTGGCGAACCGGGACAGGTACGAGACGGCGAAGGCAATGTCGGGTCGAGTGCCAAGGGAGATGTAGAGGAGGGAGCCGATGGCCTGTAGGTACCACGAACGAATGCGCTCCGTTCCCTGACCCGGAATTGCCGTGAGCGAGAGGCCGGGCGTCATCGGCACCGTAGTGCCGCGTGTCGTGGTGTCGAAGTGGAAACGGGCCAGCACGTCCATGATGTAGCGCTCCTGGGATAGAGCAATGGAACCGTCGTCCAGGCGGCGTATTTGGATTCCGAGGATGTACTCCGCGGGGCCGAGTCGTTTGACGCCGTACCGCTGTTCAAGGCCGGAGATGACACGTTCGATCTCGTCGAGGGCTGGACTGACAATGAGGAGGTCGTCGACATACAAGGCGATATAGTGAGGCCGCTGCTGATCGTCAATGCGAGAGTAAATGCAGTGATCAGTGCCTGTTGCCTTGTACCCCAGATTCCTGAGTGATGTGTCAATGTGACGATTCCAGATGCGACCGGCCTGCTTGAGACCGTAGATTGAGCGTCGCAGCCGGAGAACCTTATCGCTCGGGAAGTCGAAACCGCGTGGTGTCGTCATCCAGATATCATGATCGAGCTCGCCGTGGAGGTAAGCCTTGTCGATGTCGGCCTGATGAACGTGGTAGCCATTGGCAGCGGCAAGAGCCAGGAGGCAGCGAATGGAGGAGAAACGGGCGACGGGTGCGAAGGTTTCTGAGAAGTCGATGCCGTCGCGCTGTCGGTTACCCTGCGCTACAAGACGTGCCTTCCGCCCCGTGACTTCACCGCTTGCGTTGCGCTTGGTCTTCCAGACGAATTTGGAGGTGACGATGGTGGCGCCCGGCGGTACAGATGAGCGAGGCTCGATGGTGAACACCTTGAAGTCGTCGCGCATGGCGGTGAACTCGGCGGCGGCGGCCTCAGCCCAGATGTTGTGCTCGTCGCTGGACATTGCTTCGCGCCAGGTCTGGGGGTCGCTAGTGATCGATTTGACGGGCTCGATGGCGTCGAGGGTGGGGTCGTCGTCGTCTGTGGCGATGAAGGCGCGGTGGTGTTGGGTGAGGAAATCGATTTCATCCGGCGATTCATCGCGCGAGTGACGCCCAATGATGTCGAGTTCGTCGGGCGACTCCTCAGCCGATGCGGGCTCACGGTACGTGCTGAAGTCTGGGCGGTGCACGTCCGGTGGGCCAAGGCGAGTCGGGGTCTGTGAGCCGATGAGGTCCAGAGGGTCGGCGGAGTAGTCAGAGTCGGTCGGTGAGACCGAGGGTGACGATGACGCTGCCAACGACGGTGACAGCGCAGGCGACGGTGACAAAGGGTTTGTGGGCGACGGTGACGAGGACGGCTCAGGAGACGGTGACGAGGACGATTCGGTATCTGTGGAATTAGGTAAGGTTCCGCCAGTGTACCCTGGGGCCACGTCAACGGCGCTCATGGCAGAATCATCAAGGGAGGATGAGACGTCCATGTGCGCCGACCTTACTAGTGGGGTCCTCGTCTTGACGGCAGGGGCGGGCGTGTCGGCGGGAACGACGAACTGACGGTCGGTGTCGTCTGCATCGACGGGCGTGGTGACTGGCAGGCCGGGGAAGTCGTCGTCGAGGAAGGTGGCATTGCGACCAAGTACAATCTTGTTGATGGAATGGTCAAAGAAACGGAAAGCTTTGGAGGCGAGGTCGTAACCTGTGAAGATCACGCGCGCGGCCTTGGGGTCGAGCTTGCTGCGAAGGTCCGGGGCGACCGTGAGCCAGGCTGTGCAGCCGAACGGGTGGAGGGCGGTGGCGGTGGTGCGTTGGCCGTTCCAAACGGATTCTGGAGTCTGTTTGGCCAAAGCTGAGTGTGAGCACCTGTTTTTGCAATAAACGAAATACGCAGCCGCTTCATCCCAAAAGGTGGCCGGCAGACGGGCGTCCGCAAGGAGAGCGAGGACGCCCTCGACGATGGAGAGGTTGACACGTTCGGCGCGACCGTTTTGTTGAGGCGTGTAAGGGATAGAGTATTGACGACGAATGCCCTTGGATTTGCAGAACTCCGTGAATGCGTTTGATCGGTACTCCCCGCCATTGTCGGTTCGAAGGATCCTCAACCGCGCGTTCGTCTCTAACTCCACTTCGGCGAGCCAAGTCTGGAAGGTCGGGAAAACATCGCTTTTGTGATCGATCGCATATGCCCAGAGTTTGCGAGAGTGGTCGTCTAGAAACGTGACAAGGTAGCGCTTCCCGGTCAAGGACGGAGTATGAGATGATCACCACTACTGTCAGGAGAAGTCGAGAGTCGAACAGAAGTGATCTATTTCAGCGTACCTATGAGATGATCACCACTACTGTCAGGAGAAGTCGAGAGTCGAACAGAAGTGATGAGAAGGAAGCTAAGAAATGGAAAGGTGGCCCGCGCTGGGATATGCCCAGGCGCGGGCGAAATCGCTGGAGCGCTGAGGCAGTCGCGCGCGGCTAAGTCCCCACTGCAAGGGCGGGCTAGCGGCGCGCGCCCGAAAACCGCCGGCGCCGGCGCGCTGAGGCACTCGCGCGCGCCTAAGTCCCCACCACAGGGGCCAGGCTAGCAGGCGCGCGCAACGACCGAGGCGCCCCTGTCGAGCTGAGAGTGGACTCTTCACACGGAGTGGGGAACGACAGGACGTCGCTGTGCACGAGGCCAAGTCTCTCGGCGGAATGCGACTCAGAGTCGGGAAAGGGAAGGCGGTGACCTTTGGAACCAAGGCAAGCATTGCAAACAAACTCCTCTACGTCTTTGTCACTGTACCCGGCCCCAAACCCGTCCAGCAAACCTGCAGCAATCATCTTCTGTATAGAGGATGGGGCAAGATGGCCGAGGCAGCGGTGTAGGGTAAGCAGGGGCACGGGAGACTCAGAGCGTGAGAGGAAGGCAAGATGCTGACACTTGGTGTGATCCGCGTCCAAAAGGTAAAGACCGTCGTTGACCCTGGTACCGTGAGCAATGGCCCGGCCGTCCTTGGCGATGTCGATGCCGTCGCTGGTGAAGGCGAGACGAACGCGGTCGGTGTCGCAGAGGCGAGAGACAGAGAGGAGGTTGACGTGTAGGCCAGGCGTGTGAAGAACACCACGGAGCGTGATCGGGTGTCCAGTCTTGGCGACGAATGCCACGTCCCCCATGCCGATAGCCGTGATGCCGCCCGCGATGCCGCCGATCTTGGTGTGTGCCGTCTGACGATAAGTCGTGAATAGAGATCGGTCGGCGACCATGTGTGTCGTGGCACCCGAATCGACTACAAAGGCGTCAGTTGGGAGTTGGCGACGAGCGAAGAGGCAGGAGGCGAAATAGCCGACGTTCGGTTGCGAGGCCGCGGAGGAAGACGTGTCGTCCTGGGTGTCGTCGCTGCTACGTGCCTGTTCACCCCGGTTCTTGCAGTCGAGTGCCCAGTGACCTTTCTTGTGGCATCGGCGGCAGGGGCCGGTGGGCGGGTGCTTCGCACGTGAAGTGCAGTCGCGCAGGCGGTGACCGGGAGCGCGGCAGGCGGGGCAGGGGGAGCTGGTGGCAAGCATGGCCGAATGCGAGGTCGAGAGTCCTGCCGAACGAAGCTGGATGCGAATGCGGTCCGTAAGCGTCGTGAGTTCGGGAAGGTCGCGTCGGTTTCGCTGCTCGTCCGTGAACGTGAGTCGGAAGCTGTCGAGGCAAGACGGGACCATGGCGAGCACGTGGGTGGCGAGCACGTCGTTGAGCGATGTTTTGGCGTCGCGTATTTCCTGAGCAATCGACATGTACTCGCGTAGCCAAGTGTCGTAGGCCTCGACGGAGGCAGGCATCTTCCTGAAGTCCCAAAGGCGAGCGAACAACTCGAGAGTGCGTGTAGCGTCGTCCGGTGCAAAACGAGCCTTGAGAGCGGCAAAGATGCGCGGTGCCGACAGGTCGTCGCTGGGGATGGCGTCGAGGGTGGCCGATACGTCGGCGGAGTCGATAGAGCCAACGATGATTTCCCGGGCGGCGTCGTCACGTGCGGCAAGCTGGTCGGCGGTCCAGGTCGGGGGAACGACACCGTCGAGAACGTAACCACGAACCTGGTTCGGGAGTGCAAGACGGAGTTGACGCAACCAGTTGGTGAACGACTTGGGGCCGTCCAGACGAGCGTGCTTGGGAAACACGACCTTGGATGCGGTGGCGGCGTTCCCCGGCACGACGGTGACGGCCGGGGGTGCGGCGGCTGCGGCGGCGGCGGGTTGCGAGGCCTGCAGAGCGGCAAGCTGGGCCTGTAGAGTGGCGATTTGTTCGCCGATCGAAGATTCAGGGGAGCTGGGATCCCTGGGGGCCAAAGGCGAGGCGGGAGAGCTGTCCATGATGTGATGGTGCGATGGACGTGTGCGGCTCGAGTGGCTGGGCTCGAGCGAAAAAGCCTCAAGCGGCGGGGCTGGTAGCTCGTGGGCTTATAACCTATTCGATCAACTCTACTACGTCAGCGATGTAGTTATAGCCAAGAGTGATGAATGCATTTCAACATACCTATTCGATCAACTCTACTACGTCAGCGATGTAGTTATAGCCAAGAGTGATGAATAGGAAGCTAACAATAAGAGACCCGCGCGCCCCAAGTCCACAGCCAGCGAGCCTGGGGCTGAGCCAATGGCCCAGGCTCGCTCCGCGCGCCTAAGTCCCAGGCTCGCTTCGCGCGCCTAAGTCCTGGGCCGGGGCGCCCGGCTCACTCCGCGCGCCTAAGTCCGCGCCCGGTTCGCTCCGCGCGCCTAAGTCCTGAGCCGAGCGGAGAGTGGATTCTGTTGAACTTCGCTCCATCTCACTTCTAGGACAATATGCGCTCACTGAAGTAGAGGTGCCTCGCCTTTTGGTGCAGTGGTATATTGTTCCTTCATAGGTTATGAGCCCAGAGCAACCAGCAGGTCATGAGTTCAATCCCCCCTGGGGTCAGGCAATTTTGCGCGCATACACTCAGCGTCCCGGCCCCCGCACTTGCCCAGCGGCGTGCCAAGCACCCTGGCGCATCGACAGTGCTCACAGTGCCCAAGCTGCACTTGCCCAAGCGACCTGATCAACATGCCCAGTTGCCTCACAAGCCGCACCCACTGCCACAAGCTCTTCAGCTTCGCGCACAGGGGGGTGTTGAACTTCGCTCCATCTCACTTCTAGGACAATATGCGCTCACTGAAGTAGAGGTGCCTCGCCTTTTGGTGCAGTGGTATATTGTTCCTTCATAGATTCCTCACACCACTCGCGCGATGAATCGCCGGACGAAATCGATTTCCTCACCCAACACCACCGCGCCTTCATCGCCACCGACGACGACAACTCTGACACAGAAGCCATTCAACCAGTCAAGTCCATCACCAGCGACCCACAGACATGGCGCGAGGCAATGTCGGGTGACAAGCGCGAAGTGTGGGCCAAGGCCGCTACCGACGAGTTCAATTCCATGCGCGACGACTTCAAGGTCTTCACCATCGAGGACCGATCCACGGTACCAGCGGGTGCGACCATCGTCACATCCAAGTTCGTCTGGAAAACGAAACGGAATGCACTCGGCGAAGTCACCGGCCACAAGGCACGGCTCGTGGCGCAGGGAAATCGGCAACGCGACGGCATCGACTTCAACGAAACCTTCGCACCAGTCGCACGCTTCTCCTCGATACGCTCACTCCTCGCGCTGGCGGCCGCCAACGGCTTGCACGTGCACCAGGCGGACATCGACAAAGCCTATCTGCATGGCGACCTTGACCATGACATCTGGATGACGACACCGCGCGGCTTCGACCTTCCCACCGACAAGGTGCTTCGTCTGCGACGCTCCATCTACGGACTCAAACAGGCTGGCCGAATCTGGAATCGACACATCGACGCATCGCTTCGAGATCTCGGCTATACGGCGACGGGCACCGACCACTGCGTGTACTCTCGGATCGACGATCGGCGACGCCCACACTACATCGCGCTGTACGTCGACGACCTCCTGATGATCAGCCCCGACTTGGCCGAAATTGAACGTGTCATCTCGGGCCTCGAACAACGCTACGGCGTCAAGCGCCTCGGCCCGGCAGAGTACATCCTCGGCATCCAGATCAGGCGACTCGAAGACGGTTCTATTGCCCTGTCCCAGGAACGGTACATCATGGACGTGCTTGCTCGGTTCCACTTCGACACCACGACTCGCGGCACTACAGTCCCGATGACCCCCGGCCTTTCGCTCACCGCCATCCCGGGTCAAGGCACCGAACGGATCAGGTCATGGTGTCAGGAGCACAGCCTGCACTGCCATCAATACTCGAAGGAAGTCTCCCAAGTTTGCGGCCGGAGTCGACATCAGCTACCGGTTTGTTCGTTGCAAGCATTGTCGGCGCGATGGTGTAGTCGTGAGGGCGCGCGGGCGCGCACTCAGTGGTCGAGGGTTCGATCCGCCCGGAGCGTGATCTGCCTTTTGGTTTCTTTTCCTTTTTGTTATCCGAGGCCCGGCTTCGGGGTTTTTACCGGTGCCTTGCAGGCAATCCTTTTTACCCCTGAAGCGACCTCGTGGTGTAGTTATTTGATTCAGTCTTTCCTTCGCTCGGAGCACTTCCCTCCTTTTGCTTTTGCCACCCTTCCCCTAGAGCTTGGTCCACTCATTATCATGACTCGTACCCTCCCTCTTTTTACCCATTTCGCTGGCAATTAAGTCCGTTACACTTGATTTGCTGCGAAGCCTTCCGACCGAATCCACTCCGCGGTTGCCTCTCGGTCGACTTCCGCCGCCCAGCCGACTCGACCTTCCCACCGGCCTGGTCAGCTATTTCTTGGATCGTTTGCCCTCCCTCTTCTGTCCGACCTCGTTGGCTACCATAGTTCGGTACACTGGACTTGCTGCGAGCCTTGCAGCCGCGTATCCTCCGCGGTTGCCTCTCGGTCGACTGCCGCCGCCTCGGTCGACACCCCCTTCGCTCCTTCGCGCTTTCGCGCGCTCTCTCGCTCTCTCCCTCGTCTCTCGCGTGTAGTCATCGTCATCCCCTCCGACGTTGCCTGTCACATGGTATCTGCAGGCTATCGGCTCGCTCCTCTACATTTCGCTCGGCACCCGCCCCGACATCGCCTTCGCCGTGTCCTACCTGGCCCGCTTCGCCAACAACCCTGGACGTCGTCACTGGATCGCGGTCAAGCACATCCTCCGCTATCTCCGGGCCACATATCGCGACGAACTGGTTTATGCTTGCGGCGAGACACGCATCACGGGCGTGGTTGGCTACTCCGACGCGAACTGGGGGGCCTGCGTCGATACGTCGGTGTCCACTATGGGCTACGTCTTCTACATTGCCGGATCCGCCGTGTCTTGGTCGTCCAAGCGTCAATCTCGAGTTGCCGATTCTACCACCGACGCTGAATACCTCGCCCTCTCGCATGCTGGCAAGGAAGGGATCTACCTCAGTCAGCTGCTCGAGGAGCTCCATGTCCAACCTGTTGCACCGGCTCACATTTTTACTGACAATGAAGCCGCTGCCGCAGTTGCCCACGACCCTGTCCGCGTCTCCGGCACTCGACACATACGCTTGCGCGAGCACTTTGTTCGGGACATGGTGAATCGGGGCGATATCTCACTCTCGCATGTGGGAACCAGCAACATGGTGGCCGACATCTTCACAAAGGCTCTTGGCCCAAAGATTTTCTCGACACACTGCTACGCACTAGGCCTTCGCACTCGACACCCACGGTGACAGGCAACGTCGGAGGGGATGACGATGACTACACGCGAGAGACGAGGGAGAGAGCGAGAGAGCGCGCGAAAGCGCGAAGGAGCGAAAGGGGTGTCGACCGAGGCGGCGGCAGTCGACCGAGAGGCAACCGCGGAGGATACGCGGCTGCAAGGCTCGCAGCAAGTCCAGTGTACCGAACTATGGTAGCCAACGAGGTCGGACAGAAGAGGGAGGGCAAACGATCCAAGAAATAGCTGACCAGGCCGGTGGGAAGGTCGAGTCGGCTGGGCGGCGGAAGTCGACCGAGAGGCAACCGCGGAGGATACGCGGCTGCAAGGCTCGCAGCAAGTCCAGTGTACCGGACTATGGTGGCCAACGAGGTCGGACAAAAGAGGAAGGGCAAACGATCCAAGAAATAGCTGACCAGGCCGATGGGAAGGTCGAGTCGGCTGGGCGGCGGCAGTCGACCGAGAGCAACCGAGGAGTGGATTCGGTCGGAAGGCTTCGCAGCAAATCAAGTGTAACGGACTTAATTGCCAGCGAAATGGGTAAAAAGAGGGAGGGTACGAGTCATGATAATGAGTGGACCAAGCTCTAGGGGAAGGGTGGCAAAAGCAAAGGGAGGGAAGTGCTCCCAGCGAAGGAAAGACTGAATCAAATAACTACACCACGAGGTCGCTTCAGGGGTAAAAAGGATTGCCTGCAAGGCACCGGTAAAAACCCCGAAGCCGGGCCTCGGATAACAAAAAGGAAAAGAAACCAAAAGGCAGATCACGCTCCGGGCGGATCGAACCCTCGACCACTGAGTGCGCGCCCGCGCGCCCTCACGACTACACCATCGCGCCGACAATGCTTGCAACGAACAAACCGGTAGCTGATGTCGACTCCGGCCGCAAACTTGGGAGACTTCCTTCGAGTATTGATGGCAGTGCAGGCTGTGCTCCTGACACACGGCTTGGATCTGCCTCGCATTCGCGTGGGGGGGGGTGTGAAGAGTCCACTCTCAGCTCGACAGGGGCGCCTCGGTCGTTGCGCGCGCCTGCTAGCCTGGCCCCTGTGGTGGGGACTTAGGCGCGCGCGAGTGCCTCAGCGCGCCGGCGCCGGCGGTTTTCGGGCGCGCGCCGCTAGCCCGCCCTTGCAGTGGGGACTTAGCCGCGCGAGACTGCCTCAGCGCTCCAGCGATTTCGCCCGCGCCTGGGCATATCCCAGCGCGGGCCCCCTTTCCATTTCTTAGCTTCCTTCTGATCACTTCTGTTCGACTCTCGACTTCTCCTGACAGTAGTGGTGATCATCTCATATATCCTTCCTACCCTTTCCGTCAACCGTCTCGTGCTCGCCTTCGTTCGCCCCGCAATCGCCGACGTTTGAGTCACGAGATTGCCATGGCCGACGAGCGCGACGTGTACCGTGCCGCCGCCGATGATCGAGACGCTCCTCTCCGCGACGAAGACCCCGGCCGCGCGAAACCGCCCAAGTCCCCGCCGCCTCAACCCTACCACACCGCCACCGCTCTATCGTCCCTCGAAAGCCGCCTCGAGGAATCCGAAGCCCGTCGTATCGACTCCGAGGAACGTGTTCAGCAATTGGAGAAGTTGGTGGAGGGTTTATTGAAAAGCTCACCTGAACCAGCTGCGGCGCGGGCCGGAGTCTCTGAACCAGCTGTGGCGCGGGCTGGATTCTCTGAACCAGCCGCAGCGCGGGCTGGGGAGTTTACGTTTACGCCGGTGAGATCGGTCCCCTTGGACGTTCCCCCACACACCATTCTGGAACGTTCAGGCAATACCGCTGACCCCCTTGTTCGTTCCCCTGGGGGGGAATCTCACAGCGCACGAAGGGACGGCCCTTCCTCGGCAGTAATCAGCTCTCGTTGGAGAGGGACGTTACCTGACCGGGAAGGGCTATGGACAGGGGATAATCCCGATCGGTTGGTCACTTTCACTACATTTGGGAAGTCGTACTTGTCTCTACTTTGCGACATTTCCACCAGCGACCTTTTTACCACCGACCGCGTCATCCAGCTTGTGGCGACCTTGTTCGTTCGTTCAACTTCTCCCAAGCGCCGTCAGTCTCCGCACGACTGGGCCGTTGATACTATGACGGACGCGCTCCGGGACGAACGACCTCACTGTTGGACGACACTGATGACAGAAGTTGGACGTCGTTGGCCGGATCCTGGCTTTGCCGACCGAGTGTCCCACGACTTCTACGGGTGCCGACAGTCTTCGTCTCGCGCCTACGACCATGTGGGCGAATGGCGTGCCCGCTACCGAGCGTTTATGCACAACGACCCCAGCTTCAGCCTCTCGCCCCTTCAACTCGCCACAACCTTTTATCAATCGTTGAGTGATGTGGCTAAGCGGGAAGTGCGGGCTGGTATGCTGCGGGAATATCGGGATAACTCACTCGTGACTATAGGGAGGTTCGGACGAACTGTCCCGTCCCTCGAGGAGGTTACCGACTGGGCCGCCATCGCCGACGACACCGGCACGACATCAGTTTCGACCCCGCCGATTCGTACGGCGACTTATGGAGCAATTGCAAAAACGCCACGCACCGCCCCATCCACGCCGAACGACGACGCACGTACTCAGATCCGTCGAGCTCGATGGATGAACCGCGCCGGTAAATGGCAACAGGCCCACCTGTGGAAGGATCGGAACACGTGGTTCTCGCCAGCATCGGGTGGGGTACCCGCCAGCATGGCGTGTTTTAATTGCGGTCAAGGTGGCCATTTCTCACAGCATTGTACAGCGGAGCGACAATCCCCCTCGACCGTCCAAATAGCAGCAATTGCCTTCGCCGACATGGACGAGGACGAATGGTCGTCGGCCTCAGGTGACGTTGAGGACCCCCAGGTGCGATTCCCCCTTCCCCTCGAGACTGATTTGACTCGACCGTCGAGTTCCGCATCCGCCTTAGTGACGCACCACTCTTGCCCTCCGGCAGACCCTGTTGGTCGAGTGAAAGACGTCGCCTCTTCTTCTTTTGAAGTTCAGACCTCATCAAGTAGTTCGCATCCAACCGTGCCGGCAAATGATGCAGATCAACATCGTCTCGACGATAGCCTGGCTGACATCGCGATTGACGCGGTGGAAGATGTCTTGTACTACGCTGATGCCGCGTCGCGCTTGTGTCATTATCCGGGGCCGGAAGTGGTGTCGTCTCGCAAGGCGGAAAGGACTGCTTCGGTGAGCTCTTTCCAGATTCTTGTGCCGTCGGGTGTGTCTCTCTTGGCGTCCGCTGTGCCCCTGATCGACATCGACGAACCCGACCAACCTGTCGAGCCCGCCATTGTACGCGCCCGCAACGTCATCGCGTGGACGCTACCTTCTGGAAGGGTTTTGCGATGTTTGATCGACTCGGGATCAGAGGTCGACTGACAGGCAACGTCGGAGGGGATGACGATGACTACACGCGAGAGACGAGGGAGAGAGCGAGAGAGCGCGCGAAAGCGCGAAGGAGCGAAGGGGGTGTCGACCGAGGCGGCGGCAGTCGACCGAGAGGCAACCGCGGAGGATACGCGGCTGCAAGGCTCGCAGCAAGTCCAGTGTACCGAACTATGGTAGCCAACGAGGTCGGACAGAAGAGGGAGGGCAAACGATCCAAGAAATAGCTGACCAGGCCGGTGGGAAGGTCGAGTCGGCTGGGCGGCGGAAGTCGACCGAGAGGCAACCGCGGAGGATACGCGGCTGCAAGGCTCGCAGCAAGTCCAGTGTACCGGACTATGGTGGCCAACGAGGTCGGACAAAAGAGGAAGGGCAAACGATCCAAGAAATAGCTGACCAGGCCGATGGGAAGGTCGAGTCGGCTGGGCGGCGGCAGTCGACCGAGAGCAACCGAGGAGTGGATTCGGTCGGAAGGCTTCGCAGCAAATCAAGTGTAACGGACTTAATTGCCAGCGAAATGGGTAAAAAGAGGGAGGGTACGAGTCATGATAATGAGTGGACCAAGCTCTAGGGGAAGGGTGGCAAAAGCAAAAGGAGGGAAGTGCTCCGAGCGAAGGAAAGACTGAATCAAATAACTACACCACGAGGTCGCTTCAGGGGTAAAAAGGATTGCCTGCAAGGCACCGGTAAAAACCCCGAAGCCGGGCCTCGGATAACAAAAAGGAAAAGAAACCAAAAGGCAGATCACGCTCCGGGCGGATCGAACCCTCGACCACTGAGTGCGCGCCCGCGCGCCCTCACGACTACACCATCGCGCCGACAATGCTTGCAACGAACAAACCGGTAGCTGATGTCGACTCCGGCCGCAAACTTGGGAGACTTCCTTCGAGTATTGATGGCAGTGCAGGCTGTGCTCCTGACACTGACTTGGTGGATCAGGAGGTGGTGCGAGTCGACCCGAGCTTCGCAACGGCCCGTTTGACTGCGCCGTTGCATTTGCGCCTCGGCACCCAGGATAAGTCCGACCGATGTGCTGTGTTCGCCACCGCTCCTTTTTCGTCTGGTGCCCTAGATCTCGGTTTGCGACCATTCTTCGTTTGCCGGGTAACGGCGTACGACGCCATCTTGGGGCTGCCATTTCTTAAGGACACAGGCATGCTCGTTGGTTGGGGCGCCTTCACCGTCGCGCGCACCGGCCCTTCGCAACCCGTCGCCCAGGATACGCACGAATGGGACCGAGCCGTCACCATAGCACCTATCTTATCTGGTTCTGCCATTGGCTGCAATCACCCTGGGTTGCTCCCCGACGACGAGATCATCGGCCTCGAGCCACACAACCCGCTGCTTGATGTCGTCGACGATCCGGCGCTCGACGATTTCTCTGAGTCCGAAGCACGAACACGATTGGCTGCCTTACTCGAGAAATTTTCTGATGTGTTCGTAGATTCGCTACCGATGGACCTATGAGATGATCACCACTACTGTCAGGAGAAGTCGAGAGTCGAACAGAAGTGATGTATTTCAGCGTACCTATGAGATGATCACCACTACTGTCAGGAGAAGTCGAGAGTCGAACAGAAGTGATGAGAAGGAAGCTAAGAAATGGAAAGGTGGCCCGCGCTGGGATATGCCCAGGCGCGGGCGAAATCGCTGGAGCGCTGAGGCAGTCGCGCGCGGCTAAGTCCCCACTGCAAGGGCGGGCTAGCGGCGCGCGCCCGAAAACCGCCGGCGCCGGCGCGCTGAGGCACTCGCGCGCGCCTAAGTCCCCACCACAGGGGCCAGGCTAGCAGGCGCGCGCAACGACCGAGGCGCCCCTGTCGAGCTGAGAGTGGACTCTTCACACCCCCCCCACGCGAATGCGAGGCAGATCCAAGCCGTGGGTGTCGAGTGCGAAGGCCTAGTGCGTAGCAGTGTGTCGAGAAAATCTTTGGGCCAAGAGCCTTTGTGAAGATGTCAGCCACCATGTTGCTGGTTCCCACATGCGAGAGTGAGATATCGCCCCGATTCACCATGTCCCGAACAAAGTGCTCGCGCAAGCGTATGTGTCGAGTGCCGGAGACGCGGACAGGGTCGTGGGCAACTGCGGCAGCGGCTTCATTGTCAGTAAAAATGTGAGCCGGTGCAACAGGTTGGACATGGAGCTCCTCGAGCAGCTGACTGAGGTAGATCCCTTCCTTGCCAGCATGCGAGAGGGCGAGGTATTCAGCGTCGGTGGTAGAATCGGCAACTCGAGATTGACGCTTGGACGACCAAGACACGGCGGATCCGGCAATGTAGAAGACGTAGCCCATAGTGGACACCGACGTATCGACGCAGGCCCCCCAGTTCGCGTCGGAGTAGCCAACCACGCCCGTGATGCGTGTCTCGCCGCAAGCATAAACCAGTTCGTCGCGATATGTGGCCCGGAGATAGCGGAGGATGTGCTTGACCGCGATCCAGTGACGACGTCCAGGGTTGTTGGCGAAGCGGGCCAGGTAGGACACGGCGAAGGCGATGTCGGGGCGGGTGCCGAGCGAAATGTAGAGGAGCGAGCCGATAGCCTGCAGATACCATGACCTGATCCGTTCGGTGCCTTGACCCGGGATGGCGGTGAGCGAAAGGCCGGGGGTCATCGGGACTGTAGTGCCGCGAGTCGTGGTGTCGAAGTGGAACCGAGCAAGCACGTCCATGATGTACCGTTCCTGGGACAGGGCAATAGAACCGTCTTCGAGTCGCCTGATCTGGATGCCGAGGATGTACTCTGCCGGGCCGAGGCGCTTGACGCCGTAGCGTTGTTCGAGGCCCGAGATGACACGTTCAATTTCGGCCAAGTCGGGGCTGATCATCAGGAGGTCGTCGACGTACAGCGCGATGTAGTGTGGGCGTCGCCGATCGTCGATCCGAGAGTACACGCAGTGGTCGGTGCCCGTCGCCGTATAGCCGAGATCTCGAAGCGATGCGTCGATGTGTCGATTCCAGATTCGGCCAGCCTGTTTGAGTCCGTAGATGGAGCGTCGCAGACGAAGCACCTTGTCGGTGGGAAGGTCGAAGCCGCGCGGTGTCGTCATCCAGATGTCATGGTCAAGGTCGCCATGCAGATAGGCTTTGTCGATGTCCGCCTGGTGCACGTGCAAGCCGTTGGCGGCCGCCAGCGCGAGGAGTGAGCGTATCGAGGAGAAGCGTGCGACTGGTGCGAAGGTTTCGTTGAAGTCGATGCCGTCGCGTTGCCGATTTCCCTGCGCCACGAGCCGTGCCTTGTGGCCGGTGACTTCGCCGAGTGCATTCCGTTTCGTTTTCCAGACGAACTTGGATGTGACGATGGTCGCACCCGCTGGTACCGTGGATCGGTCCTCGATGGTGAAGTGTCAGGAGCACAGCCTGCACTGCCATCAATACTCGAAGGAAGTCTCCCAAGTTTGCGGCCGGAGTCGACATCAGCTACCGGTTTGTTCGTTGCAAGCATTGTCGGCGCGATGGTGTAGTCGTGAGGGCGCGCGGGCGCGCACTCAGTGGTCGAGGGTTCGATCCGCCCGGAGCGTGATCTGCCTTTTGGTTTCTTTTCCTTTTTGTTATCCGAGGCCCGGCTTCGGGGTTTTTACCGGTGCCTTGCAGGCAATCCTTTTTACCCCTGAAGCGACCTCGTGGTGTAGTTATTTGATTCAGTCTTTCCTTCGCTGGGAGCACTTCCCTCCCTTTGCTTTTGCCACCCTTCCCCTAGAGCTTGGTCCACTCATTATCATGACTCGTACCCTCCCTCTTTTTACCCATTTCGCTGGCAATTAAGTCCGTTACACTTGATTTGCTGCGAAGCCTTCCGACCGAATCCACTCCTCGGTTGCTCTCGGTCGACTGCCGCCGCCCAGCCGACTCGACCTTCCCACCGGCCTGGTCAGCTATTTCTTGGATCGTTTGCCCTTCCTCTTTTGTCCGACCTCGTTGGCCACCATAGTCCGGTACACTGGACTTGCTGCGAGCCTTGCAGCCGCGTATCCTCCGCGGTTGCCTCTCGGTCGACTTCCGCCGCCCAGCCGACTCGACCTTCCCACCGGCCTGGTCAGCTATTTCTTGGATCGTTTGCCCTCCCTCTTCTGTCCGACCTCGTTGGCTACCATAGTTCGGTACACTGGACTTGCTGCGAGCCTTGCAGCCGCGTATCCTCCGCGGTTGCCTCTCGGTCGACTGCCGCCGCCTCGGTCGACACCCCTTTCGCTCCTTCGCGCTTTCGCGCGCTCTCTCGCTCTCTCCCTCGTCTCTCGCGTGTAGTCATCGTCATCCCCTCCGACGTTGCCTGTCACTTTTTTCAAGTTCGGCATTGCTAGCGACAGTCCCAGCTTCTCTCACCGCTCAGTCCCACACCCTGGACGAGCATTCCCGCCCTCCCGCCCTTCGTCTTCGCGTCGTCCGCCTCCTCTCCGTTCGGCCTCTCGAGTTCGGCCTCTTTGACGACCGCGTGGTTCCTCCCCCCCACCCCCCACACCTCCCCCACCCCCCACCCCCCCACCTCTTCTTACCGTCTCGTGACCGCCCTCGTTCGCCCTGGAATCGCTGTTGACTGTGAGTTGAGTGATTGCCATGGCCGCCGAGTGTGACACGTCGCGCGCCGCTGCCGCAGCCAGCGCGCCGCGCCTCTTCGCAACCGCGACCCCGGCCGCGCGAACCCGCCCAAGTCCGCCTGCCACCACACTCGTTTCGCACCGCCGCCGCCTTATTGCATGGTCGCCTCGTGCCCGCCTCGTTCGTCCTGGAATCATCGACTGTCGTGTTGAGCGATCGCCATGGCCACCGAGCGCGACACGTCCTGCGCCGCTGCCGAAGACGGCCCGCCGTCCCCTTCCGCCAATCCGACCCCGGCCGAGCACGGCCAACTCCGACCGACCCGGCCGCGCGAAACCGCCTAAGTCCGCCCGCCGCCCAACTCATTCCGCACCGTCACCGCCTCGCCGCACGGTAGACTTCCTTCTGGGGGGATAGTGTCAGGAGCACAGCCTGCACTGCCATCAATACTCGAAGGAAGTCTCCCAAGTTTGCGGCCGGAGTCGACATCAGCTACCGGTTTGTTCGTTGCAAGCATTGTCGGCGCGATGGTGTAGTCGTGAGGGCGCGCGGGCGCGCACTCAGTGGTCGAGGGTTCGATCCGCCCGGAGCGTGATCTGCCTTTTGGTTTCTTTTCCTTTTTGTTATCCGAGGCCCGGCTTCGGGGTTTTTACCGGTGCCTTGCAGGCAATCCTTTTTACCCCTGAAGCGACCTCGTGGTGTAGTTATTTGATTCAGTCTTTCCTTCGCTGGGAGCACTTCCCTCCCTTTGCTTTTGCCACCCTTCCCCTAGAGCTTGGTCCACTCATTATCATGACTCGTACCCTCCCTCTTTTTACCCATTTCGCTGGCAATTAAGTCCGTTACACTTGATTTGCTGCGAAGCCTTCCGACCGAATCCACTCCTCGGTTGCTCTCGGTCGACTGCCGCCGCCCAGCCGACTCGACCTTCCCACCGGCCTGGTCAGCTATTTCTTGGATCGTTTGCCCTTCCTCTTTTGTCCGACCTCGTTGGCCACCATAGTCCGGTACACTGGACTTGCTGCGAGCCTTGCAGCCGCGTATCCTCCGCGGTTGCCTCTCGGTCGACTTCCGCCGCCCAGCCGACTCGACCTTCCCACCGGCCTGGTCAGCTATTTCTTGGATCGTTTGCCCTCCCTCTTCTGTCCGACCTCGTTGGCTACCATAGTTCGGTACACTGGACTTGCTGCGAGCCTTGCAGCCGCGTATCCTCCGCGGTTGCCTCTCGGTCGACTGCCGCCGCCTCGGTCGACACCCCTTTCGCTCCTTCGCGCTTTCGCGCGCTCTCTCGCTCTCTCCCTCGTCTCTCGCGTGTAGTCATCGTCATCCCCTCCGACGTTGCCTGTCATGAAGACCTTGAAGTCGTCGCGCATGGAATTGAACTCGTCGGTAGCGGCCTTGGCCCACACTTCGCGCTTGTCACTCGACATTGCCTCGCGCCATGTCTGTGGGTCGCTGGTGATGGACTTGACTGGTTGAATGGCTTCTGTGTCAGAGTTGTCGTCGTCGGTGGCGATGAAGGCGCGGTGGTGTTGGGTGAGGAAATCGATTTCGTCCGGCGATTCATCGCGCGAGTGGCGCCCAATGATGTCGAGTTCGTCGGGCGACTCCTCAGCCGATGCGGGCTCACGGTACGTGCTGAAGTCTGGGCGGTGCACGTCCGGTGGGCCGAGGCGAGTCGGGGTCTGTGAGCCGATGAGGTCCAGAGGGTCGGCGGAGTAGTCAGAGTCGGTCGGTAAGGCCGAGGGTGACGATGACGCAGCCAACGACGGTGACAGCGCAGGCGACGGTGACAAGGGAGTTGCGGGCGACGGTGACGAGGACGGCTCAGGAGACGGTGACGAGGACGATTCGGCATCTGTGGAATTAAGTAAGGTTCCGCCAGTGTACCCTGGGGCCACGTCAACGGCGCTCATGGCAGAGTCATCAAGAGAGGATGAGACGTCCATGTGCGCCGACCTTACTAGTGGGGTCCATGTCTTGACAACGGCTTGGGATTCGGTGGTCGGGCAAGCGCTGGCGAAGTGCGTGTCGGCGTCTTGCTCGGTGGAGTCGCTACGTAACCCGGGAAATTCGTTGTCGAGGAACCTGGCATTTCTGCCCAAACTGATCTTCTTGGTCGTCGTGTCGTAGAAACGGAAGGCTTTAGAAGCCAGGTCATAGCCGGTGAAGAGAACGCGAACCGCTTTCGGGTCGAGTTTCGAGCGAAGTTCAGGCGCGACTGTGAGCCAAGCCGTGCAGCCGAACGGGTGAAGCGCCGAGGCGTTGGTGTCAGGAGCACAGCCTGCACTGCCATCAATACTCGAAGGAAGTCTCCCAAGTTTGCGGCCGGAGTCGACATCAGCTACCGGTTTGTTCGTTGCAAGCATTGTCGGCGCGATGGTGTAGTCGTGAGGGCGCGCGGGCGCGCACTCAGTGGTCGAGGGTTCGATCCGCCCGGAGCGTGATCTGCCTTTTGGTTTCTTTTCCTTTTTGTTATCCGAGGCCCGGCTTCGGGGTTTTTACCGGTGCCTTGCAGGCAATCCTTTTTACCCCTGAAGCGACCTCGTGGTGTAGTTATTTGATTCAGTCTTTCCTTCGCTCGGAGCACTTCCCTCCTTTTGCTTTTGCCACCCTTCCCCTAGAGCTTGGTCCACTCATTATCATGACTCGTACCCTCCCTCTTTTTACCCATTTCGCTGGCAATTAAGTCCGTTACACTTGATTTGCTGCGAAGCCTTCCGACCGAATCCACTCCTCGGTTGCTCTCGGTCGACTGCCGCCGCCCAGCCGACTCGACCTTCCCATCGGCCTGGTCAGCTATTTCTTGGATCGTTTGCCCTTCCTCTTTTGTCCGACCTCGTTGGCCACCATAGTCCGGTACACTGGACTTGCTGCGAGCCTTGCAGCCGCGTATCCTCCGCGGTTGCCTCTCGGTCGACTTCCGCCGCCCAGCCGACTCGACCTTCCCACCGGCCTGGTCAGCTATTTCTTGGATCGTTTGCCCTCCCTCTTCTGTCCGACCTCGTTGGCTACCATAGTTCGGTACACTGGACTTGCTGCGAGCCTTGCAGCCGCGTATCCTCCGCGGTTGCCTCTCGGTCGACTGCCGCCGCCTCGGTCGACACCCCCTTCGCTCCTTCGCGCTTTCGCGCGCTCTCTCGCTCTCTCCCTCGTCTCTCGCGTGTAGTCATCGTCATCCCCTCCGACGTTGCCTGTCACTTTTTTCAAGTTCGGCATTGCTAGCGACAGTCCCAGCTTCTCTCACCGCTCAGTCCCACACCCTGGACGAGCATTCCCGCCCTCCCGCCCTTCGTCTTCGCGTCGTCCGCCTCCTCTCCGTTCGGCCTCTCGAGTTCGGCCTCTTTGACGACCGCGTGGTTCCTCCCCCCCACCCCCCCACACCTCCCCCACCCCCCACCCCCCCACCTCTTCTTACCGTCTCGTGACCGCCCTCGTTCGCCCTGGAATCGCTGTTGACTGTGAGTTGAGTGATTGCCATGGCCGCCGAGTGTGACACGTCGCGCGCCGCTGCCGCAGCCAGCGCGCCGCGCCTCTTCGCAACCGCGACCCCGGCCGCGCGAACCCGCCCAAGTCCGCCTGCCACCACACTCGTTTCGCACCGCCGCCGCCTTATTGCATGGTCGCCTCGTGCCCGCCTCGTTCGTCCTGGAATCATCGACTGTCGTGTTGAGCGATCGCCATGGCCACCGAGCGCGACACGTCCTGCGCCGCTGCCGAAGACGGCCCGCCGTCCCCTTCCGCCAATCCGACCCCGGCCGAGCACGGCCAACTCCGACCGACCCGGCCGCGCGAAACCGCCTAAGTCCGCCCGCCGCCCAACTCATTCCGCACCGTCACCGCCTCGCCGCACGGTAGACTTCCTTCTGGGGGGGATAGTGTCAGGAGCACAGCCTGCACTGCCATCAATACTCGAAGGAAGTCTCCCAAGTTTGCGGCCGGAGTCGACATCAGCTACCGGTTTGTTCGTTGCAAGCATTGTCGGCGCGATGGTGTAGTCGTGAGGGCGCGCGGGCGCGCACTCAGTGGTCGAGGGTTCGATCCGCCCGGAGCGTGATCTGCCTTTTGGTTTCTTTTCCTTTTTGTTATCCGAGGCCCGGCTTCGGGGTTTTTACCGGTGCCTTGCAGGCAATCCTTTTTACCCCTGAAGCGACCTCGTGGTGTAGTTATTTGATTCAGTCTTTCCTTCGCTCGGAGCACTTCCCTCCTTTTGCTTTTGCCACCCTTCCCCTAGAGCTTGGTCCACTCATTATCATGACTCGTACCCTCCCTCTTTTTACCCATTTCGCTGGCAATTAAGTCCGTTACACTTGATTTGCTGCGAAGCCTTCCGACCGAATCCACTCCTCGGTTGCTCTCGGTCGACTGCCGCCGCCCAGCCGACTCGACCTTCCCATCGGCCTGGTCAGCTATTTCTTGGATCGTTTGCCCTTCCTCTTTTGTCCGACCTCGTTGGCCACCATAGTCCGGTACACTGGACTTGCTGCGAGCCTTGCAGCCGCGTATCCTCCGCGGTTGCCTCTCGGTCGACTTCCGCCGCCCAGCCGACTCGACCTTCCCACCGGCCTGGTCAGCTATTTCTTGGATCGTTTGCCCTCCCTCTTCTGTCCGACCTCGTTGGCTACCATAGTTCGGTACACTGGACTTGCTGCGAGCCTTGCAGCCGCGTATCCTCCGCGGTTGCCTCTCGGTCGACTGCCGCCGCCTCGGTCGACACCCCCTTCGCTCCTTCGCGCTTTCGCGCGCTCTCTCGCTCTCTCCCTCGTCTCTCGCGTGTAGTCATCGTCATCCCCTCCGACGTTGCCTGTCAGTTGGTGCGGTCGCCCTGCCAGGCGAAGTTCGGTGTTGCCTTGTCCAGGGCCGAGTGTTCGCACAGGTTCTTGCAGTAGACGAAATAAGCTGCTGCCTCCTCCCAGAATGATTTGGGTAATATTCGATCAACTCTACTACGTCAGCGATGTAGTTATAGCCAAGAGTGATGAATAGGAAGCTAACAATAAGAGACCCGCGCGCCCCAAGTCCACAGCCAGCGAGCCTGGGGCTGAGCCAATGGCCCAGGCTCGCTCCGCGCGCCTAAGTCCCAGGCTCGCTTCGCGCGCCTAAGTCCTGGGCCGGGGCGCCCGGCTCACTCCGCGCGCCTAAGTCCGCGCCCGGTTCGCTCCGCGCGCCTAAGTCCTGAGCCGAGCGGAGAGTGGATTCCTCACAGGTAAGTGGGCGTCTGCAAGGAGGGCAAGGACACCTTCGACGATAGAACGATTGACTCGTTCGGCACGACCGTTCTGTTGAGGCGTTCGAGGGATAGAGTATTGTCGACGTGTGCCGCGTGCCTTACAGAATTCCGTGAACGCTCTCGAACAGTATTCGCCACCATTGTCGGTTCGGAGGACCTTCAGTTTTGCATCCGTCTCGAGTTCGACCTCGGCAAGCCATGTCTTGAACACGCCAAAGACTTCGCTTTTGTGTCCGATCGCGTATGCCCACAGTTTGCGCGAGAAGTCGTCAAGAAACGTGACCAGGTAACGCTTGCCAGTCAAGGACGACTCGGGAAAGGAAAGCACATCGCTGTGTACGAGGCCGAGTCTCTCTGAGGAGTGCGAGTCCGAATCGGGAAAAGGAAGACGATGGCCCTTTGCACTGAGGCAAGCATTGCAGACAAACTTCTCTACCTCTTCGTCACTATATCCGGCCCCGAGACCTTCCAGCAAACCAGCGGCAACCATCTTCTGTATGGACGACGGTGCGAGATGGCCGAGGCAGCGGTGAAGGGTCAGCAGGGGCACGGAAGACTGTGAGCGAGAGAGGAGAGCGAGATGCTGACATTTGGAATGATCAGCGTCCAGCAAGTAGAGCCCTTCCTCGAGTCTTGCGCCTTCAGCGATAGCATTGCCGTTCTTGTCGATATGGATGCCGTGCTTCGTGAAGGCGACACGGACATCGTCGGTGTCGCAAAGTCGAGAGACCGAGAGGAGGTTGACAGACAGGCCCGGGGTGTGCAGCACGCCGGTAAGCGTGATCGGGTGACCGGAGGCGGCAACAAAGGCGATGTTTCCCGTTCCGACGGCGTTGATGCCCCCTGCAATACCACCAATCTTCGTAGGAGCGATGTGGCGATAGGCCGTGAACAGCGACTTGTCCGAGACCATGTGCGAAGTGGCACCCGAGTCGACGACGAAGGAGTTGTTGCGAAGCTGACGACGATGTGCGAGAAGACCGGTGGCGAGACATCCGACATGGTGTTGCGCATCAGAGGTGTCGGGCGTTTTCCCGTCCTCAAGAGCCTTTTTGCAGTCGAAAGACCAGTGGTCCTTCTTCTTGCAGGAGCGACACGGGCCTGGCGGTGGATGCTGGGCCCTTGTAGGGCATTGTGCGACGCGGTGAGAAGGGCTGCGACAGGCGAGGCACTTGGTACGGGTAGAACGTGGCGACGACGAGGCAAGGAGGGCCGATTGATCGTTGGAGAGGTTCGTTGACCGGAGTTGAACTCGCATACGGTCGGCCACTGAATCGATGTCAGGGAGAGTTCGTTGCGTGCGTTGTTCGTCGGTGAACGTTGCCTTGAAGCTCTCGAGTGACGGGTGGGCGATCGCGAGGAGGAGTGTGGCAAGGACGTCGTTGATCGTCGTTTTCGTATCGATGATCTCTTGCGCGACCGACTTGAAGTCCATGATCCAACTGTCAAATTCGCCAACCGTTCCGGGCATGGGTCGGAAGCCCCAGAGTCGCGAGAAGAGCTCGAGCGTGCGAGTGGCGTCATCAGGGGCGTATCGCGATTTCAGCGTCGAGTAAATCTTGGGCGCTGTGAGGTCGGCCGTAGGGATCTTGTCGAGGACTGCCGAGACTTCGGCCGAGTCGATTGAGTTTGCAAGGATCTCGCGTGCCACGACGTCGCGGGCGGAGCGTTGCGAAGGCGTCCAATCGTCGGGGGTGATTCCGTCGAGGACGTAGGAGCGGATGTCGTTCGCTAGGCACAGGCGAAGCTGGCGTGTCCAGTTCGCGAACGTCTTCGGCCCGTCCAACCGCGCATGCTTCGGGAAGGCATTGCGATTGGAGCCGGATGTCGTGGCGGGTGCGGTAGTGCCGGAAGCGGCAGCGGTGAGTCCCGACAGCAGCGATGTAAGTGCGGCAAGCTGTTCGGCGGGAATTGTCGGGGTGGCGCTCGTCGCGAGGGTTGACGACGTGTCCATGCCAGCGGTAGCTCGATGGGCTTATAACCTATGAGATGATCACCACTACTGTCAGGAGAAGTCGAGAGTCGAACAGAAGTGATGTATTTCAGCGTACCTATGAGATGATCACCACTACTGTCAGGAGAAGTCGAGAGTCGAACAGAAGTGATGAGAAGGAAGCTAAGAAATGGAAAGGTGGCCCGCGCTGGGATATGCCCAGGCGCGGGCGAAATCGCTGGAGCGCTGAGGCAGTCGCGCGCGGCTAAGTCCCCACTGCAAGGGCGGGCTAGCGGCGCGCGCCCGAAAACCGCCGGCGCCGGCGCGCTGAGGCACTCGCGCGCGCCTAAGTCCCCACCACAGGGGCCAGGCTAGCAGGCGCGCGCAACGACCGAGGCGCCCCTGTCGAGCTGAGAGTGGACTCTTCACAGGACCAACTCCCACCGTACCGGCCAGTCAACCACGAGATCCCGTTGATCGATCCCACCGAAAAGGTCAAACCCCGGGTATACCCCCTTGCCGACAAATATCGCAGCCAGTGGGCGGAACACTCAGCTAAGTACACTCGTGGTCGATTCTGGGTTTCGGGTCCGATCGATTCTGCGGCTCCGGTCTTTGCCATTCCGAAGAAGAACTCCCAGACGGCTCGTTTCGTGATCGACCTCCGCGCGCGCAACAGCAACACCGTCAAGCGTTTTTCGCCCATCCCGGACATGACCAATGTTCGATACGAGGTGGCTCGATCGCGTTATCGCTCTAAATTTGACGTGGCCGCGGCATTTGAGCAGGTTCGGGTCATACCGGAGCACGTCGATCGCACCGGCTTCGCAACGGTGACGGGCACGTACACGTCGCGGGTCATGCAGTTTGGTGACACCAATGCGCCCAATACCCTCAACCTCTTAACCTCGGCGATGTTCCAGCCGTGTCTCCCGTTCGCCAAGATCTTTTTCGACGATGTCCACGTCCATTCCGATACCCGTCGCGCGCACTTGAGACACATCAAGATCCTGCTGATGACATTGAGACATTACCGGTTCTACTTAGGATCCAAGAAGTCCGAGTGGTTCTCAAAGTCGTTGGACTCCTTGGGCACCATCATTTCCGACGTCGGCATCGAAGTCGACCCCGCCAAGTGGGTGCGTATCCGTCAGTGGCCGATCCCGTGCAACAAGACCGATGTCCAGCGCTTCCTCGGCACCGTCAACTGGATGCGAGATCACCTACCGCACCTCTCAAAGATTTTGGAGCCGATCACCGCGTTAATGGCGCAATCGACGTCATGGCGTTGGAACGAGCGAGAACAGCAGGCTTTCGATACCGTCAAGTCCCTTGTGCCCGCCATCCTACGACCGATCGATGGCGCCAAGGTTACCTCGGGCGAGCACAAGATGTACCTCTTCACGGATGCCAGTCGGGTTGGCATTGGCGCTTGTTTGGCGTCCGGGCCCAACCGTTCGCAGGCCGTTCCAACGCGATTCTTTTCCGCTAAGTTCAACGGTGCTCAGCTCAACTATCATGTCACTGATAAAGAGTTCTTGGCTGTCGTCTCGGCGTGTCGGGCGTTCGAGCAGCACTTGATCGGTTACCCCTTCGTCATCGTCACCGACCATCAGGCCCTTCGCACGATAAAAACCCAAAAACTGCGCCAAACGCCTCGGCACATCCGCATGTGTCTCGAACTTAGCCGTTTCGACTTCGAATTTGAATTCATTGCTGGCAAGAACAACACCCTGGCCGATTCGTTGTCGCGTCTGTGGGAGGTCAAGGAGGGATCGCACGAGGATCAGGTCAAGGAGAATGAGTTGGAGGACATGTTCTTTGATGGAGAACGCCACGAATTCACTACACCCGGTGAGAGCCTCCCTGAGGAACGTCCTTGCACTTCACCATCTCCCGATCGGTTGCCTCCTGTTGATTTTGCCCTCGGGCCCCAACACGACGATTGCGAGGCAGGCTCTCCCGGATACTACGCGCTCAAGGAGGAATCGCAAGACGAGGACGTGAATGGACAGGAATTAGGGAATTTGTTCTTGAAGGAAGAATGCCACGAGTTCATTACGCCCGGTGAGAGCCTCCTCGAGGAACGTCCTTACACCTCACCTTCGCACGATCGGTTGCCCCCTGTTGATTGCGCCTTCGGGCCCTGGGGTCACGGTTACGACGCAGGCTCTCCCGGTTCCCCTCATCTGGCCGAGAACATTATGGACGCCGTCGATTCGTCTATCGGCCGCCTCTCTCCTCCCATCGCTGTCAATCGAGTTCACGCTATCGCTGCGGCTCCCGCCAACGACCCGCCCATTCCGGTCGATGCCGACGCCGACGAACTCGATTTGTTGGGAGTTGCCACCGATGACGTCAACGACACCCCTGTAGTCCATCGGCCGCCTGATCCACTGCCCCAACCCTTCCTCGACACCGTCATCCGAGCATACGCCAACGATTCGCAAGCCCAGGTCATCATTACCGACCCGCTATCATGGCCTATGTTTCGGGTGACCGAGGAAGGGAGGATTTTGCGTGTACATCCAGATGAGTCTCTTTCCTTGTTTGTGCCTCGTGGTCTCGCTACTGGCGTCGTCAACTCCGACAAGGTCCCATCGCTGCGCGAGCTCGTGCTTTCGGAGATTCATCGAAGTGTCGGGCATGCAGGACATCGCATCACCTTGGCCGCCATCCGTCCTTTGTACTGGTGGTCGTCCATGTCTGCCGATTGCGCCGAGTTCTGCCGTTCATGTGAAGACTGTACCCGAGGCAAGGCGTCCACTCAAGTCCCCTATGGCCGACTGCATCCGATGCCGATCCCTTCTGGTCCTTATTCGATCAACTCTACTACGTCAGCGATGTAGTTATAGCCAAGAGTGATAAATGCATTTCAACATACCTATTCGATCAACTCTACTACGTCAGCGATGTAGTTATAGCCAAGAGTGATGAATAGGAAGCTAACAATAAGAGACCCGCGCGCCCCAAGTCCACAGCCAGCGAGCCTGGGGCTGAGCCAATGGCCCAGGCTCGCTCCGCGCGCCTAAGTCCCAGGCTCGCTTCGCGCGCCTAAGTCCTGGGCCGGGGCGCCCGGCTCACTCCGCGCGCCTAAGTCCGCGCCCGGTTCGCTCCGCGCGCCTAAGTCCTGAGCCGAGCGGAGAGTGGATTCCTCACACCCCCCCCCACGCGAACGCGAGGTAGACTTGAGCCGTGGATGTCGCGTCCGGAGGCCTAGAGCATAGCAATGTGTACCAAAAATCTTGGGGCCTAGCGCTTTGGTGAATACGTCCGCAACCATGTCTGCTGTGCCAACGTGTGAGAGAGAGATATCACCTCGATTGACCATGTCACGGACAAAATGCTCGCGGAGGCGAATGTGCCGGGTGCCGGAGGTGCGAACGGGGTCGTGAGCGACGGCGGCCGCGGCCTCGTTGTCGGTGAAGATGTGAGCTGCAGCGATTGGGCAAACGTGGAGCTCGGAGAGGAGTTGGTTAAGGTAGATCGCTTCCTTACCCGCGTGCGACAAGGCCAGGTACTCGGCATCAGTGGTGGAATCCGCTACCCGAGTCTGACGCTTCGACGACCAAGAGACAGCGGCGCCTGCCAAGTAAAATACGTAGCCCATCGTTGAAATGGATGTGTCGACGCAGGCGCCCCAGTTCGCATCAGAATAACCAACCACACCCGTGACTTTTGCTGGGCCGCGGGCATAGAGAAGCTCATCGCGGTACGTGGCGCGAAGGTAGCGAAGGACGTGTTTGACGGCAATCCAATGGCGGCGGCCGGGGTTGTTGGCGAACCGGGACAGGTACGAGACGGCGAAGGCAATGTCGGGTCGAGTGCCAAGGGAGATGTAGAGGAGGGAGCCGATGGCCTGTAGGTACCACGAACGAATGCGCTCCGTTCCCTGACCCGGAATTGCCGTGAGCGAGAGGCCGGGCGTCATCGGCACCGTAGTGCCGCGTGTCGTGGTGTCGAAGTGGAAACGGGCCAGCACGTCCATGATGTAGCGCTCCTGGGATAGAGCAATGGAACCGTCGTCCAGGCGGCGTATTTGGATTCCGAGGATGTACTCCGCGGGGCCGAGTCGTTTGACGCCGTACCGCTGTTCAAGGCCGGAGATGACACGTTCGATCTCGTCGAGGGCTGGACTGACAATGAGGAGGTCGTCGACATACAAGGCGATATAGTGAGGCCGCTGCTGATCGTCAATGCGAGAGTAAATGCAGTGATCAGTGCCTGTTGCCTTGTACCCCAGATTCCTGAGTGATGTGTCAATGTGACGATTCCAGATGCGACCGGCCTGCTTGAGACCGTAGATTGAGCGTCGCAGCCGGAGAACCTTATCGCTCGGGAAGTCGAAACCGCGTGGTGTCGTCATCCAGATATCATGATCGAGCTCGCCGTGGAGGTAAGCCTTGTCGATGTCGGCCTGATGAACGTGGTAGCCATTGGCAGCGGCAAGAGCCAGGAGGCAGCGAATGGAGGAGAAACGGGCGACGGGTGCGAAGGTTTCTGAGAAGTCGATGCCGTCGCGCTGTCGGTTACCCTGCGCTACAAGACGTGCCTTCCGCCCCGTGACTTCACCGCTTGCGTTGCGCTTGGTCTTCCAGACGAATTTGGAGGTGACGATGGTGGCGCCCGGCGGTACAGATGAGCGAGGCTCGATGGTGAACACCTTGAAGTCGTCGCGCATGGCGGTGAACTCGGCGGCGGCGGCCTCAGCCCAGATGTTGTGCTCGTCGCTGGACATTGCTTCGCGCCAGGTCTGGGGGTCGCTAGTGATCGATTTGACGGGCTCGATGGCGTCGAGGGTGGGGTCGTCGTCGTCTGTGGCGATGAAGGCGCGGTGGTGTTGGGTGAGGAAATCGATTTCATCCGGCGATTCATCGCGCGAGTGACGCCCAATGATGTCGAGTTCGTCGGGCGACTCCTCAGCCGATGCGGGCTCACGGTACGTGCTGAAGTCTGGGCGGTGCACGTCCGGTGGGCCAAGGCGAGTCGGGGTCTGTGAGCCGATGAGGTCCAGAGGGTCGGCGGAGTAGTCAGAGTCGGTCGGTGAGACCGAGGGTGACGATGACGCTGCCAACGACGGTGACAGCGCAGGCGACGGTGACAAAGGGTTTGTGGGCGACGGTGACGAGGACGGCTCAGGAGACGGTGACGAGGACGATTCGGTATCTGTGGAATTAAGTAAGGTTCCGCCAGTGTACCCTGGGGCCACGTCAACGGCGCTCATGGCAGAATCATCAAGGGAGGATGAGACGTCCATGTGCGCCGACCTTACTAGTGGGGTCCTCGTCTTGACGGCAGGGGCGGGCGTGTCGGCGGGAACGACGAACTGACGGTCGGTGTCGTCTGCATCGACGGGCGTGGTGACTGGCAGGCCGGGGAAGTCGTCGTCGAGGAAGGTGGCATTGCGACCAAGTACAATCTTGTTGATGGAATGGTCAAAGAAACGGAAAGCTTTGGAGGCGAGGTCGTAACCTGTGAAGATCACGCGCGCGGCCTTGGGGTCGAGCTTGCTGCGAAGGTCCGGGGCGACCGTGAGCCAGGCTGTGCAGCCGAACGGGTGGAGGGCGGTGGCGGTGGTGCGTTGGCCGTTCCAAACGGATTCTGGAGTCTGTTTGGCCAAAGCTGAGTGTGAGCACCTGTTTTTGCAATAAACGAAATACGCAGCCGCTTCATCCCAAAAGGTGGCCGGCAGACGGGCGTCCGCAAGGAGAGCGAGGACGCCCTCGACGATGGAGAGGTTGACACGTTCGGCGCGACCGTTTTGTTGAGGCGTGTAAGGGATAGAGTATTGACGACGAATGCCCTTGGATTTGCAGAACTCCGTGAATGCGTTTGATCGGTACTCCCCGCCATTGTCGGTTCGAAGGATCCTCAACCGCGCGTTCGTCTCTAACTCCACTTCGGCGAGCCAAGTCTGGAAGGTCGGGAAAACATCGCTTTTGTGATCGATCGCATATGCCCAGAGTTTGCGAGAGTGGTCGTCTAGAAACGTGACAAGGTAGCGCTTCCCGGTCAAGGACGGAGTGGGGAACGACAGGACGTCGCTGTGCACGAGGCCAAGTCTCTCGGCGGAATGCGACTCAGAGTCGGGAAAGGGAAGGCGGTGACCTTTGGAACCAAGGCAAGCATTGCAAACAAACTCCTCTACGTCTTTGTCACTGTACCCGGCCCCAAACCCGTCCAGCAAACCTGCAGCAATCATCTTCTGTATAGAGGATGGGGCAAGATGGCCGAGGCAGCGGTGTAGGGTAAGCAGGGGCACGGGAGACTCAGAGCGTGAGAGGAAGGCAAGATGCTGACACTTGGTGTGATCCGCGTCCAAAAGGTAAAGACCGTCGTTGACCCTGGTACCGTGAGCAATGGCCCGGCCGTCCTTGGCGATGTCGATGCCGTCGCTGGTGAAGGCGAGACGAACGCGGTCGGTGTCGCAGAGGCGAGAGACAGAGAGGAGGTTGACGTGTAGGCCAGGCGTGTGAAGAACACCACGGAGCGTGATCGGGTGTCCAGTCTTGGCGACGAATGCCACGTCCCCCATGCCGATAGCCGTGATGCCGCCCGCGATGCCGCCGATCTTGGTGTGTGCCGTCTGACGATAAGTCGTGAATAGAGATCGGTCGGCGACCATGTGTGTCGTGGCACCCGAATCGACTACAAAGGCGTCAGTTGGGAGTTGGCGACGAGCGAAGAGGCAGGAGGCGAAATAGCCGACGTTCGGTTGCGAGGCCGCGGAGGAAGACGTGTCGTCCTGGGTGTCGTCGCTGCTACGTGCCTGTTCACCCCGGTTCTTGCAGTCGAGTGCCCAGTGACCTTTCTTGTGGCATCGGCGGCAGGGGCCGGTGGGCGGGTGCTTCGCACGTGAAGTGCAGTCGCGCAGGCGGTGACCGGGAGCGCGGCAGGCGGGGCAGGGGGAGCTGGTGGCAAGCATGGCCGAATGCGAGGTCGAGAGTCCTGCCGAACGAAGCTGGATGCGAATGCGGTCCGTAAGCGTCGTGAGTTCGGGAAGGTCGCGTCGGTTTCGCTGCTCGTCCGTGAACGTGAGTCGGAAGCTGTCGAGGCAAGACGGGACCATGGCGAGCACGTGGGTGGCGAGCACGTCGTTGAGCGATGTTTTGGCGTCGCGTATTTCCTGAGCAATCGACATGTACTCGCGTAGCCAAGTGTCGTAGGCCTCGACGGAGGCAGGCATCTTCCTGAAGTCCCAAAGGCGAGCGAACAACTCGAGAGTGCGTGTAGCGTCGTCCGGTGCAAAACGAGCCTTGAGAGCGGCAAAGATGCGCGGTGCCGACAGGTCGTCGCTGGGGATGGCGTCGAGGGTGGCCGATACGTCGGCGGAGTCGATAGAGCCAACGATGATTTCCCGGGCGGCGTCGTCACGTGCGGCAAGCTGGTCGGCGGTCCAGGTCGGGGGAACGACACCGTCGAGAACGTAACCACGAACCTGGTTCGGGAGTGCAAGACGGAGTTGACGCAACCAGTTGGTGAACGACTTGGGGCCGTCCAGACGAGCGTGCTTGGGAAACACGACCTTGGATGCGGTGGCGGCGTTCCCCGGCACGACGGTGACGGCCGGGGGTGCGGCGGCTGCGGCGGCGGCGGGTTGCGAGGCCTGCAGAGCGGCAAGCTGGGCCTGTAGAGTGGCGATTTGTTCGCCGATCGAAGATTCAGGGGAGCTGGGATCCCTGGGGGCCAAAGGCGAGGCGGGAGAGCTGTCCATGATGTGATGGTGCGATGGACGTGTGCGGCTCGAGTGGCTGGGCTCGAGCGAAAAAGCCTCAAGCGGCGGGGCTGGTAGCTCGTGGGCTTATAACCTATTCGATCAACTCTACTACGTCAGCGATGTAGTTATAGC